CTCAACTAGTGCTTGGGTGAGACCGCGGTAACCTGTGCAAGAGGCTTTAATCACTCTTGAGCTAGTCACAACTCAGGAACGAAAAAAATACCTTTTTGCCCATTTAAAGCAGAGAGGGGAGACATAGGCAATAGTGCCAAATAAGGTATTTTCAATAGAAAAATGTTCCACTCTCCAAGCCTGATTCGACTTTAGAGGAAACCTACCAAGGTTTCTTGTAGCTATCTCTCCATTCAAGCCTATTTAAAGGGACATTGTAGGCACCAGACCACTTCAGCTAATTAAAGTGGTCTGGGTGCTGCGTCTCTATTGCACTTAGTGCTGCAATGTAAAACATTGCAATTCCAGAGAATATAAGTCTGCCCTCAGTGGCTGTCTACCAGACAGCCACTAGAGGGCTTCCGGAATCCAAACTGACTTTTGGTCCGTTATCTGACACTGGACGTCCTCACGCTCTCTGCATGAGGACCTCCAGTGTCAGGTTTTCACCATACGAAAGCATTGAATAATGCGTTCCTATGGGAAGGTCTAATGCATGTGCAGCCATTGCCCAGCATGCGCTTTAGGTCTCCCTCGCCGGCTGATGGCGGTGGAGGAGCATGGGCGGATCCTGACCCAAGGCTGAGGGACATCTGGACAGCGCTGGACTAAGGTAAATGGCTGAAGGGGTTTTAACCCCGTCACTTCAGTGGGAAGGAGGTAACCTATTAAACCTATAGTGCCAGGAAAACAGCTTTGCTTTCCTGGCACTATAGGATCCCTGTAAGCTCAAAAAAGGCACACTATAAGTGCTAAAAAATATATATATACATATATATTATTTATTTATTTTTTCTAAACGGTGCCCACTACTAGGAAGACGCCTAATAATACAGTTCCATCTGAAAAACAAATAAAGCATACATAGTGCTCTCCATAACATATAATATGTAGAAATTCATGGTATATGTGGAATGCACTCACAAAGATGGAGTCACATCAGGCTCTATGTAAACAGTCTTTGGGTGCCTGTCCAGGCTCTCGGTATGTTTCAGTGAAGAACTCAATGTTCACAAGGATGAGAATATAAATACAAATTTATTGAAATAAAATATAATTAAAAATATGTGGATAGTAAGGGACAAAGGATATGGCAGGTATCATGTGAAGCAGTAATACACCGCAAGTTTGGCCAAAAAAGCAGTGCAAATACAAGTAAATACAAACACAAATAAATACCCCCAGCAAAAGTCCCACAGTATGTCCAGTATGTAGCAAACGAGTTTTAGCCCTTGATGGGGCCTTCCTCAGTGCTATCCAACTGGTCCATTTTCAGGGTTTAAATACTCCTCTTGAAGTGTTGAACTGTTCCAGTTGTAGCTTGAGTCCGTTGCCGGTTTCATCACTTCCAGTTTGGCGTAGTCATGTGACTTCCGGTTTGGCGCGGTCACATGACCGCATTGCTTTCCACACTGACTTATTATAGAAACATAGAATGTGACGGCAGATAAGAACCATTCGGTCCATCTAGTCTGCCCAATTTTCGAAATACTTTCATTAGTCCCTGGCCTTATCTTATAGTTAGGATAGCCTTATGCCTATCCCTATGCTTAAACTCCTTTACTGTGTTAAAGTAATACTTCCTGATATTATTTTTAAACCTTTGTCCCTCTAATTTAAAACTATGTCCTCTTGTTGCAGTAGTTTTTCCTTCTTTTAAATATATAGTCTCCTCCTTTACGGTGTTGATTCCCTTTACGTATTTAAATGTTTCTATCATAATACACGAGCATGGTGAAATAGATCCTTATGAAGTCCAAAAATGTCCATAGCAATTGTGGGCACTTGCCCATATGTTTGAATATAATTAAAAGGCGATAAAGTAAAAATAAATGAGAGATAGCTATATCATGATAAATACTGCAAAAAGAATGATGATAAAAACGAAAATTAAATATAAAATACTTAATTTTTTCTGGTTTGAAGGCTCTTATTTTTTACAATTGCTTGGGAATGTGATGGGGACCAAGTTCGCACCAGGTTACGCTAATTTATTCATGTCCTTCTGGGAGAAATCTTTTCTCTCAGGGGATAACTCTTGGAGTGCGAACTCGGTCCTCGATCGCAGATATATAAATTACATTTTTTTCATTTGGAAGGGGGAAGAACAGTGTCTCAAACGGTTTTTAAATAACAACTCAAGGAACATCACCTTAACTAGTGAATATAGTAAAACCCAGGTACATTTTTTAGACTTGGTTATTTATGTAGAGGATTCTAATATTAAAACGTAAAAAAAAAAAACTTTTTAAACCAGTTGATGTCAATAGTTATATAGACACAACCAGTAGTCACTATGCACCTTTAACAACATGCCGAAAGAACAGTACATAAGAAATTGCACTGATCCGCATCAATTCGATACTCAAGCGAATATTTTAACTTCATTTTTTTAAAGAAAAGTGTTACAACCCTACTGTTTAGAAAATAAAAAAAAACAACAACAACAACAACAACAACAACAAGTGTTACAGGTAAAAAAAAAAAGTCTTGAGAGAAATGATGCTCTTAAATACAAACCAAAAAAGATACACAACTAATGGAAAATAAGTGTGCCGACGATTTTGGATTATAATGATAATTCTAAACAGATTAAAGGACCACTCTAGGCACCCAGACCACTTCAGCTTAATGAAGTGGTCTGGGTGCCAGGTCCAGCTAGGGTTGACCCATTCTTTTATAAACATAGCAGTTTCAGAGAAACTGCTATGTTTATGAATGGGTTAAGCCTTCCCCCAAAGCCTCTATCGGCTGTCTCACTAAAGCGCTCCCTCCTGCCAAGCCACCTTCTGGACCCCCTGGCGCGTATGTGTCTGTAAGTATATGTGTGAGTGTGTGTATGTTTGTCTGTGTGTATGTGTTTCTCTGTGAGTGTGTCTGTGTTTGTCTGTGAGCAGAGCACTTGTAGAATAGAAGAAAGAAGGAGCATATGATTTGTAGAATAGGAGAAAAAAAAGAGCAGAGTACTTGTAAAAAGGAGAAAGAAGGAGTAGAGTACTTGTAAAAAAAGGAGAAAGAAGGAAAAAGAGAGAATTGTTGTTGGCTAATAATAGTAGGTGGGCTACCTAGCTCAGCCTTCCTGCTGGGCATTGCTATAGGGAAGGTTAAGAAATAGAAAAAAAGGGGGGATAAAAGGTGCGGAGGGGTATTGAGGAGGGAGAGGAGGGAAGCTGATGCACAGATGAGAAATCAAATTATGAGCAAACAGAGAAATCGTCTGAATATCACCGAAAGAGGAGACCTTCATTTGTTCCTTACGAAAATCGAACCAGATATCAAATATTTAGTCTCGCAGCATCAACCTCAAGGATCTCATTAATCACTAGTAAAGCTAATTTCAATTTACTTTGTTTTCTCATTAAACTTTATAAAGTTAAAAACATTATAAACATGCATTAAGTATAAATAAAAAGATAAATGTACGTACATTTATTTATTTTTTAAAAACACCCTCCTTTCTAAAAAATATTCTGCACTTGCGCGAAAACTGGTGGGCAGTAAGGAAATTTTTCCATCAAGAAAGATGCATTAGTGGGCGGTAGGTAGAAAAAGGTTGACTACCCCTGAGATAGAGCCTGATGTAGCTCCATCTTTGTTAGTGCATTCAACAAATACCATGAATTTCTACATATAATATGTTATGGAGAGCACGATGTATGCTTTGTTTGTTTTTCAGATGGAACTGTATTATTAACACCTGCAATAGGTGGTATATTGGTAGATTATACCTACTTTGTGTGTATGATTAGATTTTTATTAACCACTTGTTTTTAAGGTGATAAGGGATTACACCTTTTTTCACACCCACTCACTAATTCTAATTCTTTCTAAATATTTGAAGCGCCTACACAACTATTTGTATTACTAGGAAGGAGCCTACTCTGCCTAATGGGAAATCTGTCCTTTAAGCACCATAACCACTACAACATGTAGTGATTATGGTGCCAGGGGTACACTGATGCCTTCCCAGTGTAAGTAAAGGAATGGTTTGCTAACTTACCTCAGGTCTGCACCCACCTGCAAGGAGCTTCCATTAGCTCTCCTGAGCAAAGTCCTGCACTGCCAGTTTTTGCCCATGCTACAGCCTGGGCCGCAAAGGAGTGCGTGACTGGCTGCCAGACCCAAGTAAGATGTTAACGGCTAGCAAGTAGTTTGAGGCACCGTAACAGCACAGGCTGGGTAATTCACTAATGTAAGAAGGGTCAAGAATTTGAAGTTAACTTTAAAACATGTCAACACCTCCCCCTCCCCCCTATAAAATCTCACATTGTGTTGGAAGTTCAATGAAAATCAGTCAAAAGATATACTAAGACAAAAAAAAATGACTACTTTGTGTCAGTAATATTCCTCGTGACAAAAGGTGGAGCTACCTTTGTCAAGCTTGTAATTTCCCCCAGCTGTCAAGGGGGAGGAAACAAAGCTGGAAGATCGCACAGGATCCTCCATAGACCTCGATGCAGAACTCTTGTGCAAGAGGACATCAGTGACGTTTGCGCCAAAAGCTGAAGAGGACCGGACAGAAGAACATGGCGTGGCCTTATATTCCCTTTCAATTCAGGACAATTCTCACTTTAGTGAATAACTCTGTAAAACTCCAAATTGTAATGCATTGAAATTAGAAATGCTAAGAATCCTAAACTAGTCAGGTTGGCACTATACCTGACCTGGAGAATGAACATTCGAATCCCCTGCAATTCAAAGCTTAGTAAATGAGCCCCTTAGTATTGCTTTACTGGGGACTAAATAAAGAAATTACCACGAGGTCACGCTGTTGCCACAACAACTGCACAGCGAAGACTCGAATTTACCGCCTCCCGACCTGTGCGAGCCCACCTGTGACGTCACGTTCGCTCTCTCCCTGTCGAGCTGAGGAATGGGGAACTGGGCACGTTGTTTACAGAGTGGGCGTGTGCTTTTAAAGACACGCCCCGTCCAGGCCAGTGCAGGCATGTGGTGACGTTGCAGACTCATTCTGGCTGATACATTGTTATCAGTGTGTTCGAGGTTCTATGCCAATGCTGTTTCTTAGTATCAGCCTGTGATCCTGCTAAGTGCCATGTGACATGACTGTGACACTACCTCTAGCTGGACCTTGACCTGAGTCTTCACTCATCTAAGACTACCCAGCTGCAGGGTGAGTGTGATTGGTGTCACTGTCACTTTATGTGGGTGGGCAAATAATGTGCTGTGTGGGGGTTTACTTCCTGCAGCAGCCAGCTGAGATCCCATCATACCGCCCCATGCAGACAGTTGTATAGGTATTTTTATTTCAGGGATAGAACTACAGTACTCTTATTATGCCTGAGCATGCTGAGAATTGCTGTCCAGCCAAGTTGGAATCTTGAGGTTTCTGTCTTAGGTCTTAAGTAGGCTTTCTAGAAAGGATGTATTGTAATACAAACGTATTACTATATATTCCTGAATCAATGATTTCATGGTCTGTGTGTCACAAGATACAACAATCTACTTTCCTTATGTTAAACCATAAGTCAGTGCCAGAGTCATTCATCATCTTCCTTGGAGTAAATCTATTTTGTCATATACCAACATTTTATTTGACCAATATCGATTTTGTTGTTATTTGTTTTTTTTAATGTATATCTCTTGACTGTCTCTATAAATAAATGTGGAGTGATTCTTTTAAAGTAGGGGTGCCCAAAAAGTCGATTCTCCAGATGCTGTAAAACTACAACTCACATGATGCTTTGCATGCTTTAGAATGACAAAGCATCACGGAAGCTGTAGTTTTAAAACATTTAGGGATCTACCTTTTGGGCACCCTTGTTTTTAAAGTGTGTAGAGCCAGCTAAAAACACAGGCTATTATGGACATTTTAGTATTGGTTGTATTTTTGTAGTGATTTCCTTGTAAATTGTTCCTGTTCAAACCGGACTTTATTGTGATAATACGCCGCTTATTCACTAAAGTGAGACTTGCCAGGCGTTCCAAGCGATTTTTCAAGTTTTATGTTCAAAATAGCCAAACTTAAAACAGATTGACCGATTTTTGGTCTAAAATGTGAAATTCGACTTGAATTCCCAGCTATCCTCACTTAGGTTACAACCAGTACAGTGTCTCGAATAGAACAAACATTGACCTCAGAGTCTGTAAAAGATGTCATAATTTTTTAAATGAACACCTGTATAACAAAGGTGAAAGGTCCTTTTGTAAGCACATGGTTGTTTGCAATATTTACATATCATAAAATATTTGGAATTCGTGAGGGGGGGAAGCAGATTTTCAATTTGGTGGAAACATTTTATTTTGTTGGAAATTACTTTCAACACTGCAGTAATACATTGAAAATCTCATATTTACTAAAGTGTGAATGGACAGGGATTCAAAATGAATTACAATTTTTTAGACCAAAACAGCAAACGAAACCCAGTGGAATTGGATACTTGTTCCAATTCAGCTATTTAAAAAAAAAAATTAAAAAAAAATTGAAATTCACATTACACTGGCCCTCCCTCCTCAGTGTAAGGAGTCAAGAAATTTAGTTCTTGACTGACATTCGCCTGGCACCACTCCTCACCCCCTTTACCAATGCTAGAGCAGCAGAAGTTCCTATACAGGAACCTTTTGTAGCTATCCTGAGCTATTCAATGCAGTGGTTATGGTGCCCGGAGTGTTCCTTTTAATTCACTCTGAATCCCCAATACCCAAGTACTGGTAAATAATCCTGTCTATAATTCATCCTTGAGTAAATAATTCTGTTATTGAGTCAAAATATTTTGAAAGCAACACTATGGGTATCCAGACCACTTTCTCACTTCCTTGATTTAACCCTTGCAGCTGAAAACATTGCTGTTCTGCAGTAATGGCAATGTTTTCCATGCAGAGTAGGACAACCACTAGAGGCGCTTCAGCCGAGTGGCGTAAAACTTCTCTATTTTAATCAGGTGGTCCCATAGAGGTATGTTAGAGCTGCTCTAGCAAAATTATGACATCTTTTACAGACTCTGAGGTCAATGTTTGTTCTATTCGAGACACTGTACTGGTTGTAACCTAAGTGAGGATAGCTGGGAATTCAAGTCGAATTTCACATTTTAGACCAAAAATCGGTCAATCTGTTTTAAGTTTGGCTATTTTGAACATAAAACTTGAACTCACATTTTTAACCGTGGCAGCAGGGGCCCTGTCACCTAAACTGTGACAAGGGACTATAACGCTATGAATACACATGTGTTCCTACTGTTCCCTGAGAGTCAGCTTTCTTCAATAAACTACACCTAGCGGTGCAGGACTTAGCTCACTGACGCTCTCAGCCAATACGCTAGCTCTGCACTGCAGTGCTTGGCTAATGAGAGCTAACAGAATTTTCTGAAGAGGAGCTTCTGCCTCTCCCTGAACTGTAAAGGAGGGGCAGAATAGCACACAGGGACCCTGGTAAGAAACAAACTGTTGTAAAATGGTTTGACTTCTAACACTGGGGGAGGCTCCAGGGCACTCCCAGGCACCATAAACACTACAGGTTGTAGTGGTTATGGTGCTTAAAGGACAGATTTCCCATTAGGCAGAGTAAGCCCCTTCCTAGTAATACAAATAGTTGTGTAGGCGCTTCAAATATTTAGAAAGAATTAGTGAGTGGGTTTCGAAAAAAGGTGTAATCCTTTATCACCTTAAAAACTAGTAAATTAAATCACACACACACAGTAGGTATAATATTCCACCTATTGCAGGTATTAATAATACAGTTCCATCTGAAAAACAAATAAAACATACATCGTGCTCTCCATATCATATAAAATATAGAAATTCAAGGTATATGTGGAATTCCCAAAAAAGAAAAGCAGCAGTCAGAACATTTGTTTATCCTTTAGTTTAGTGAAACAGGCCATCGCCAGGCTTAATGAGATCTTTGCTGCACTCCGAATGGAAACACTGCCAGAACACACAGAGTATGGCCTCCTCAGAATGTCCGTGTGTTTAGCATGTATGCACATGAGAATGCAAATAATTAAAAGGAACCTATAGTCTCGAAAATAATCATAATTTTTGGACCATGGGTTTTCTTGCAGCAAACTCGCTAGTTACGGTCCACACCCATTGCTCTGACAAATTAAGTTTAAATAAAATGTATTCATCTCCTTTCCAGCACCAGTGTTCACATCCGGTGACACAGCATCAGCTGTGGCATGTGTGTGGCTGCCTACTGATGGGTCCAGAAATCTGAGGCGGGTTAGGAGATCTTAACTCCTCAGCGAGGTCCTGCAAGGTAAGTAAAGCTAGTTTCACATATACATTATAGTTATGGCATTCACTAAAGCACAGGGACATGGGACACTTGGGGTTAGATTTAGGGAGTAATTTTTAGAGATTTGTGACACCTAGGGAAAAAACATTAACGTTTAAAATTATGTCTTAAGTTGATTTTAGCCTTATTCCTAGGGTTAAAGTAAGGATTGAGAGAGGCTAAATTTATTCCTAACTTTAATTTTAGCCCTCACTTAACCTTAAATGTCCCATGTCCTTGTGCTTTAGTGAATTCCCTAACTAAAATCTGAATGTGAAATTAGTTTTACTTCCCTTGCAGGACCTCGCTGAGGAGTTATGATGCCACAGGGAGTGATGCAGTTATATCGCGCATGCTCCCAGCCTGCATCAGATTTCTTTACCTGTTAGGAGTCCGACCACGCATGTGCAGCACAGGCCACAACTGATGCCGTGTCCCTGGACATGACGTGGCTGAACCTTACTTTTTTGCTCCAGGAAGCAAGGTGAAAAGTCAGTGTAGGACCCACCTGGGAGATTTGCCTTGATGTGGCAGGTGGGCTAAACTCTCATTGGAGCAACTAAATAACCTCCATCTGTTTAAATATGTATAGGCATTTGGGAAGGGCGCAGGTAATTTTTTTTTTTTTCTTTTTTTTTTTCCTATAGTTTTTACTGTATGTATTGGGGCTGATGTGTACTGTGGTCTTTGCTGCCACCCAAGAGTAGTGGGAGTTTGAGCGCAGGACCTGTTTTTTTGTATTTGAGCCTGACATGATGTGGGTCGAGATTTCTGACGCAGTTTGGACTTCTGACAGAACATCGGAACTCAACCACTGCATCCTGAAGCTCCTCCTCTGGTGACATTACTCGTGATCTCCAACAATCAATTGCTTCCCCCTCCGCCCCCCGCTACAGCCATTATACTCTGCCCCCATCCACCGCAGCTTCTGTGTATCTCATTGCAGTCTTTACCATCCCTATTCCCCACTACAGCGACTATCTCCACTACAGCACCTATACCTCTTTACCCCCAACCACAACTGCTCCTCAACTGTCTCCCCCAACACACACCAGTCTCTATCACGGTAAAATGCACACTACAGCCTCTATTTTCTGCACACACACCACAGACTTGATTCACCCCCATACATTTTCTTCATCCCCAATTTCCTTGCACACAAACCGCCTCAGTTGACCCACAGACACACACACTCTGCATCCCCATTTCCCATTTTCTTCCCAAAACACAAACTATAGCCTCTATACAGCCACTATACCCAACAAGCACACCAAAGGCTATATCCTCCCAAATACAGACACTACAGCCCTTATCCACATACAGCCACTATTTACTTTCCCACACACATACTACAAAACAAACCGCTCCATCTACATACACAACCCAGAACCACACAAGCAGCATCTCCCCTACACACGCAACCCTTCAAGCAGCTTACCCCAAATACACACAAGCAACACCACAAGTAGCCTACCCTCACAAATGCAACACAGCAAGCAGCCACCCCACACATGCAACCCCACAAGCAGCATCTGGACAAAGTCTGGAGGGCCATGTGAGAATCTATCCCTTCCAAAGTATTCCCTCTGGCTGCGTTGTTCAGCTTTTCCATACACACCCCCTGCGTGTCAGCACAGATGCGCGTGTACAATTTCTACTTTGTCTGCTGCAGTCCTGATCGCCACACGTCACTGTTATTGGGATTTATTCTCAATGTTTTTTCTTCACTTTGTTTTTGCTGCTAAATATCGGATTTCAGCGTGAACAAAATATTAATGCAAGTACATGGTTTTGGTTATAAATATGCCATTTGCTCTAAGTTTCCCTTTAGTGACCGATAATGTCCACATTTTAGTCAATAAGTAACGTGTCACTAGATTGTAAACACCTGTGATAATGGCTTATTTTCCCATTTTGAAAAAAAAAAATTTCTATTCCAAAAGAAATTTTGCGTAAGCTGCTGTATGTGGGCTAGAAGGGAAAGGAGACCGTATTACATGCAGAATGTGGGAAACAAATTCTCTCTCTCTCATTGGACATAGAACCCAAGGCTATGTTAATGGTCAGGTGGCTTCCATGCAGTGCAATCACACTCCAATGTGCTATGTTGCTCACCATTCTTGGAAAGTGAGCAACATCTGGAAAGGAATACTGAATTTTTATTTTTATTTTTTTTTTCTTCTTCAAACAAACACTACTTTCTTAAAGGGACTCTGTCATATGTCAGGTTAGCGTTTTAGTTTAGTAATAAACTGTGCTAGCAGATTTCTTTAAATTATGTAGGTGTACTTACATGGATTATTTTTTTTCTATAAAGTGAATGCTGCAAGTAAATGCCAGAGGTTATGTGCTCATCTGTTAATCCCAAGCATAGCAGCGTGTCACGTTCTGTGTACTTTGAAGTACTAGGTATAGCGGGACAGCAGGCATCATGTGGATAACTATGATTCCTGTATGATGTAACTGTTACTGTTGCTTGTCAGGTAGTTAAAGCAACTCTCACGCACTGTAGTGGTTATGGTGCAAGGAGTGCTGTGGCGCCCCCATCCCTATTGTAAGGAGTCAAAACATTTTAGAACAGGTTTAATGTTTACTTGTCGGCTGGTTGCTGCTTTCTGCCTGCACTACTGCTCAGTGAGAGGTTGAAGCAATTTGTGCAACTAACAGAACACTCCACACACTATAGCCGCTACTTGAAGCTGTAGTAGCTATGGTGCCAGGAGATTGCAGGCACCATCCCACAGTAAGTCGTCAAACTGTTTTTGTATGATTAATAACTTACCTGGGTTAATGGCCGCCGCTTCTGCTTCCAGTTTTTTCAGCAGAATAATCTGGGTAGCTCTATGGAGCGCAGCAGTGCTATGAAAGATCCTGCCAGCTAAGCACTCTCAGGCAATTAACACAGTCCTGGATTAGCCATGCTTTGTTTTATAGAGACACCCGGCTTCTCCTATAAAACAAGGTAAGTTCTCAAATCATACTGAAATTATTTGACTACTTACAGTGGCCTGTCGTGATTACGGTACTTTTTAGTTTGCAAAGTCGCATGGTAACAGCTCAGAGTACAAAGATCTTTAATGTGCAAGAACAACATGTAAGGAGCATTTTATCTCCACTTATTTTGCTTACTCTGAGAAAGTCAAATTCAAAGGTCAGAGTTTTTGCTAAATCTTTTGCGATATGACAAATGGCTGGTATAATGACTATGCCTGCAGTTTTTTTTTTGTGGTAGTTATTTAAAAAAAAAAAAGTCTCTCTCCTGTACTGTTTACAATTATCTTAAAATGATCATTTTCATTTCCCCTTCTGATTCCTGTGGTACCAAAAAGTGTTTTTGCATTTGTATTGGTTTATGTACCCTATGTGGGTTTCTAATTGGTCAATTTAAAGGAATGCTGCTGTCAAAATACACACACACATACATACTGACACACATTACTTACATACATATATACATACTGACATACATATTAACATACATACATACTGACATGCATATTAACAGACATACATATTAACAGACAGACAGACTACATATTAACATACAGACATACATATTAACATACTAACGTACATACATACATATTAACATACAGCTAATTTTGCTTACCTTTTTTGCAGGTGGAAGGCTGTGGCTGATGGGAGTCAGCGTGGCTCCCGCGGCCTGGCTTTTTTTCCCTCCCGCACGGAGGGGAGGGAGCTGGGAGGAAGTGACTGCCACTTCCTGCCAGCAGTACTTTGCGGCTGAGATTTTTTTAAAGGGGCCCGGTCGCGCAGTTGCACCAGCGGCAGTTTCGGCGCTACACGTGGGGTCCGGGCCCCCCAGGGCTGCTGGGCCCGTGACAACCGTCATGGTTGTCACCCCCTGATGGCGGCCCTGTTGTCCAATGAGATGCCCGCAGAAAATAAAGGTTTCTTAAGATGTTCTGTGAAAGGGTTACTCAAACTTCCATGACCACTTGAGTGATTTGAAGTGGTTATGGTGGTATTCGCCTGGATGTACAGTGTTTCTGCTTGCAATACTGCATGTGCAGAATTATTTGCACTTCTGTGCCGGGCGTAGCTCAGAACTCTATTCCAGGCTGCTTAATGTCAGTTCTGTGCATATTTTATGTTTGTCATCAGCACCCACTGCAAGCTGGCAACAGACATAATCTTCTAATGTGCAGAGAGAGCACCTGCAAGGGATAGATCATGTTCCCCTCCATTACATTCTTTTTTTTTTTTTTAATTAAAATTCACTCCCATTCCATTCGTTCCCCTGTCCTTTTGCGGGCTCATAGTACATATGTTCTGAGTGTGCAAAATGGTCCAATCACAGGCTTCTCTAAGTGAGTCCTGTGATTGTACTGCGCGAAGCCCCATGCTTGCTGTAGCGGACCACTGGTAACCTGACTGGTTACCTCCACTAAACTGTCCTCTCAGCCAGACTGGAACCGTTTGTGAATATAGCTCTCTCCCCCCCCATATTTCACACACCCCCCCCCCGTAACTAGATAAGACCTAGTTCTGGGAGTAATCTGATTTTATTTCTCAGAATGCAGCCTTTTATGCTCAGACCCCCAGCATGGGGTCTCCATTCTCTTACACCGTGATCCTGCCCAGATGTCACTGTGTCTGGAAGATAATTGAGTCTAGGACCAATAAGCTAATTATTTCCCCACAAGTTTTATATCGCTCTCGATAGAGGGCCCAAACTTTCGAATTAGCGAACTGATCCGTGGGGTTATGTAGAAACGCCACCCCCGGTAATATTTAGACCGACCGATAGTGAAAACAGTTCCAGGTGATTCGAGGCATTGGCCAGTCTTTTAATAGGGTCTCTGGATGGTTGTGAAACTTCTTATTATTTCCATTTATATGATTTTTGTGCTTTGACAAACCCTCGAAGACAGAATCCTTGATCTTTAACAGACTTCGAGAAAAGGATTGTCTAAAGTAATTTTGTGAAATGTATGAGTGACAATATGCAATTATTGGCCTTGCCTATTCAGAAGATAAAGTACGCCTAATACAGGGGACGATTTTGAGTGCTTTAGGCATAATGTCCCTGCCCTTTCTGACTTATTTCATAAAAGTGCTAATTTCAAGAGAAATCTCCACTTTTCTACGAAATGCCTTTTATGATGTCTCTTGGCTGTAAAGCAAACCACTTGTTGCTTCTCTTGCTTTAACTTATAGTTCAAAGCGAAATTGAGTCCTTCTTATAGAGAAGCAGTGGTTTCAATAGCCGCGTTTGCTGCTCATGGGCTGTGTATCCCAATGGTTCTTTATGAGAAGCATCTGATATAAGTTAATGAGCTTATGGAAGGAGGGGCAAGGCTGCAATGCAATAGGTCTCACTTTGCTGGAACAGGGTGAGTTGTTTTTATTTTTTTATTTTTTATTTTTTTCATGTTAAACTGGTGGGGAGAAACCTTTTGCTTGGAAAATAAATGAAACCAAATTGCTTTTTAGGAAGAGAAAATGAGTAGACTAGGTTGAGCAGAATTTTAGGTTTTTACAATTTGTAAATGAATTCAGACTCTTTAGGGTATTTTTCGTAATGGTTTAATCAATTCTATTTGTTAAAATATAAGCATAAATGGTAATATAAGTGCATTAATGGCACAATGAATTTTTGGAAACTAAAAGGGGTGGCAATGTATTTTCAATGCACCTGTTTTATCTGAAATCGCAAAAATGTATGAAAATGATTCTTACTTGTTACTCCTGTTTGTCTACTGCTTGAAGGTGCCGTCAAAAAAGAGCAACTTGTTTCCTTTGCATTTGCACTGTTAAAAGGACACTCCAAGTTGCTTAGGCACCAATGCCCCTCGGACAGGTCCCTGTCTCCCCTATGTGTGTGTAAAATGTCAGATTTGGCTACACTCTGTAGTCCTAAAAGAGGACCAATGAATGCACTGTCCACTGGACATATAAATAGAGAGAGAAATACCACAAGGTACACTCCCTTTCATGGTCTAAGGTGAATAATTCCCACCAATTCACAAAATACATTAATAACCACCTCCTTCCAATCCCTGAAATATTGTTCTGCATACAGCCTTTACCTTTATTTATAGGAGCAGTGGCGTAGTTGGAACTTTTGCCCGGGGCTGCCTTTGAGTTTTCCGCCCCTATCTCGACCTACGTCATGTCTGGTGCAGTTGTGGACATCCGTGGCTGCACCAGACATACCTCTTTCAAGTACTCAACGCCTCTAGCCCAACAAAACAACCTTTTCAAGCGTTTTTTAAGATATACACCCAATGAATACATGCATGTAATTCATTGGGGGCATATCTAGTAAACAGTGATTTTATTGGGAGGGGGGTTGCCCATTTGGGCAGAGTGTTCCTTTAAATAATTGTTACTGAAGCGCTTCAGTATATTTAACTTTTTATTGGTGTGAAAGGACACGCTTATTTAATTTAATTTTATATACACATTTAAAAAATATATACTTTTTTTTTTTTTTTTGGTGAAAGATGCAGGGAGGGAGGGGGACGGTGCATGGAAGGCGGGGGAAGAGAGGGTGTGGCGGGACTGGTGCCCATCCGTGAATTGTCTTGATGTGATTGGCTGTATTTCCCCCATGTATTTGTGCATATTTGTATGTTTTACCTGCTCACCATTCGTGAGAGCTTATGCGAACGGGTTCCGTTGGTTTCCAGAATGGGGAACACCTCAATACCCAATTTAGAATGTGGTCTTAGAACGTTCACACCTCGTAACGAGGTGTCAAAACCACAAACCGCAAGGGAAGCCTCGACGCGTGGTGGTCTGTTCATTAGACGAATGCCATCTAGGGGGAGCATTCGCAGATTGCTTCCCACCTAGTTCGGTTCCCGAATGAGGACCTCCTCAGTGCCCCTTGGAGTATTCACACCAATCAATTAGAACGTTGGCAACTTGCAACATAAGTGTGAACACACAAGGGAAGTAATTAATGGGTGTTTCCCTGGGTGGCCGCCGTTCGTATAGACACTTCCCTTTGCCTGGTTTTACCCAGGGACCCCACGAGCGGAGGTGGTTACCGTTCTGGGGGTCCCTGAGATTGGTAGGGACACTCTCTTGGGGACAATGGCGGTTTGGCTGGCTTTCTGTAGCTGGGAGTCAGAGGCGGGAAACTTTCCCGCGCTGTGACTCCCAGTTACAGAGGCTCATAGGATAAAGATCCCCTGGTCCTAGGAGGTGGGAAACCCTGCTGATGGGTAGTAGGGACTGGAGTTCCTGTTACATGCACAGGCCCCTGGGAGGGGGCCTGGAGTGGCGGGAACAGGGGACAAAGGGATTGGGGTTCCGGTTCCGTTATGTGACCCCTGGGAGGGGGAGAACCCTGGGAGTGGACATTGTCGTTGTGTATGATCCACCCCTTGCATGGGGAAAGTATAAAGCAGAGTGTGGCCAATAAAGTTGTTGTTGTACCCCTGGAACTGTGTCGTCCAGTTACTGGTGGGGGGGAGGGGGGGTGAGGAGGGAGAGATGGGTCTCTTCATTCTATATTAGCCGAGGTAACCTGTCGAGTTACCCTCTGCCCACTGTGCAGGGGAGGCGAGCTGTCGGAGAGGGGATATGTGCAGGGGAGAGATCGGGACTGTCAGGGGGGCAGGGTAGATGGGATGTGTGCAGGGGAGGCAGGGAGAGAAGGGATCTGTACAGGGAGGGGGCTGTGCAAGGAGGGGATGGGATCTATGCAGGTGAGGGAGGGGGACTGTAAGTGAGGCGGGGGAGAGGCAATCTGTGCAGTGAGGGAGACTGTCAGGGAGGCATGGGAAGAGGGCATCTGTGATGTGAGGGGGCTGTCAGGGAGTTAGGGGGAGAGGGGATTTGTGCAGAGGAGGCCGGGAAGGTGGGATGTGTGCAGTGGAGGCTAAAATAACAAAGTTTACGTTTATGTGGGCCGCATAAAAACAAAATCTTCACCTTTTATAGAAATTTATTTAGAAAAGTACAATATAAAAAAAGTTGCCTAACTGACCCTGCATGTCCTAACGCTCGTAGGGCTTCAAAGTAAACAAAAAAGCTAATTTATTTTAAGGAGATTTGATTATCTCAGCTAATCCAATGCTTTCCCATAGAAAAGCATTGGGAGGCTATTGTGCATGTGTGGCAAAAAAGCTGCCCTGCCAATCAGCATCTCCATGGGCAGCGTTCAGTGCTTCCATGTAGCTCAATCTAATACACTGCCTCCTCCCCCCATTCTAATATACTGCCCACAAATATAATACATTACTCCCCTGTCACCCTCAACTCTTATACACTGCCCCCTCCACCCAATCTAATACACTGCCCCTTCCCTCCTTTCTAATTTTAATACACTGCCCTAACACACTGGCCCCCTCCTTCCCCCAATTTAACACCCTGCCCCCACCCCCACCACTCTGATACACTGCCCACTACTTCCCCTATTTAATACACTGGCCCTCTCCCTCTCCCAAATTAATACACTGCCCTCTCCTAAATTAATACACTGCCCACTCCCTCTCCCAAATGAATACTGTCCTCTCCCTACCCCAAATTAATACACTTCCCCTCCCCCCAATTTAAAACAGGAAGGTCCCCCAAGCCCTTCTTTCCCTACTTAAAGATGAGCCGTCCATCCGTTCCAGCCCTGCTCCTCTCTGCTGAAGCAGGCCAGATGCTCCTCTGCAGACAGCCACTCTGCGCTCTTGCGGCCGCAAGAGCATGCAATCGCCCATGGAAGGGAAAAGAAGAATCAGACCTTGCAGCTGGTCACGGCCCAAGGGCAGGCGGGCCGCAAAGATATTCATTGTGGGCCGCAAGTTTGAAGTGCATACTGTAAAGAAATCTAAATAGACAACACATGCAGAATGTTCCTTGATAGACGTTGGTTGCAACTTCTTTCTATTTATAAAGAAAACTGTATTGAAGAAATTGTTATAAATTGCTACTAGATGTCATGATCTCTTTACCTTGCTCATCTTAAGATTTAAATCTTAAACATATTGGCTTCTGTGTAAAAGCCAAGTAAGATCAAAGACCTGCAGTTGACAGAATAGAGGAAATTGCCACATACTATGATTTATTGGAATGACTAAATGACAAAATTAGACCAAAACTGCTTTGCGCTACTACGCATGTTTAAGACACTACAAATTCAGTCTTCTTTTTTTATTTTTTTCATTTTTTAAAAATCCGTTGAATAGATAAATTCTTCAGATTTTAAGTACTTAGAAAGATAGTTGGGTTTTAAGTTGCTATGCTTATTTCACATATTCCAGTGTAATAGACAACAATGTGCTTTTGTAACTGAAACTGTCTGTTACGCTATTATTGATGACTCCCACATTCCGTCCCTTCAGGCAGGTGTTTCTAAAGGTGTGTTCCCATGTAATAGATTTAATAATGCCAGGAATTCTAATTTGTATCATCGTAAATTCATTGCAATCGCTTGCAAATACTGGGTGTCTTGCTAATCTTGTTTCTATTTTCATAAATGTTTTTAGAAATAAATAGCATTTTTTTCTAAATCTCTGGTGTTAAACCAAGACAACTTTAGAATTAAGAATACACTACAGACTAGTAGTACATTTCCCAAGTAGCTGTTTTATTGGAAAAAAGATTTTTCACATGTGAAGTTGCAAACCCAGGAAAATGTCAAAATAATTTTCATAAAATGAAGTAAAAAATTATATTCCATGACGGATAAAACAACAATTGTAGGGCTTTTATCATTTAAAACCGAATAGCAATCTCATAGGTACTGTTAATTGCAACAGGGTGAATAACATATATTGTGTTTTTATTCCAACTTATCTTGCTTTTATTATTGAATTGCTTATTTCCAGAATATCATGTTTCAATGGGGTTTCTGACTTGTATATTCAAACCCACAAGCATACAATTTCAAAGGCCTTTAAAATGTTGAGAATATCTGTGACATTAGCCCCCAGAATTTATTTTAAGAATATCACTTATGGAAATTTGGGTTGGGATTGTCACCCGTCTCCAGCTGCGACCTATGGCCTAATTTGAGATCAGGTACAATTGGCACAGCAGTTTCTTTTCATATAATGGTACATTGGGGAGGAAATATGAAAAAGTACCGGTTCAGGCTGCACAGCCACATCTATCCACACAAAATTAGAAAATGAGTGGTAAAGCCTCCCTAGACTATTTGGATAAGGGGGAATGATCACCATACATATTGCAGCTTTATCATGCACCACAGTTCCTTCACCACAAACCCTGCTGATGGCCACAATGCCATTACATAATGATTTTTGTAAATGGTTAATAAATGACTAGTACTGAATGTGAGGCCCCTTAAAGGGAAACTAAAGTCACCCAGACCACTTCAGCTCAATGAAGTGGTCTGGGTACAATGTCCTTCATGTTTCAACCCTTCAGATGCAAACATAGCAATTTCAGAGAAACTATGTTTACATTTGGGGTTAAGCCAGCCTCTAGTGGCTGTCTTCCGGACAGCCACTAGAGGCGCGTCTACGACTCTGGGGGCATATTATGCCCCCAATCGCGCAGAGCATCCATAGGAAAGCATTGAAAAAGTGCCGCGCATTTGCATACGGCTCCGCTGACGTCGGTGCTGGATTAAGGTAAGCTGCTTAAGGGGTTTTACCCCTTCAGCGCCACAGGAGGGGGACCCTGAGGGCGGGGGCACCCTCAGGGCACTATAGTGTCAGAAAAACCGCTTGGTTTTCCTGACACTATAGGGATCCTTTAATGAGGAGTAGAAGTGTACTCAGTCCTCTGCAATTTCTCTATTTCCTGTTCCACTTACTATGCTGGAAGACATAAAGAGAGGGTAAGCATATAACACATTATTGTAATAATATTCCTTGCATAGGGAAGTTGTCCAGGATGTAGACCCAGGAGTGTATGAGAGCAACTGAAGTGTTTCTTTTGATTAAAAAGTACTTCATTGGTAGAAATATTTAGTGGGGCATTGCCACAAACACAATTTATCTGAGCAATGTGGATTAGGGTTGCAAGCATCTTTCCAAGCCAAGTGTTAAAATGTACCAGCTGGAGTTACGTTGTCCGATAGGTGATGGTCTAGTGACGGGGAGGAAAGTGAGGCAACAGGAACTACTGTGAAGAAGTTTTTTAAATGAATCACTACAGCCCTGATGCACCTCGTTACATCCCTCCCCGCTGCCGAGTTAAAAAAAAAAAAAAAAAAATCTATTAATAAAACAAATTAGTAATCTTTTCTCCAGCACACAGTCTCCCTCTGCTGTGCTGTGCCCTTCTTCTCTGGTTGTATAGCAGTCCAATCTGATGTTACTCATAGAGGAGCATTGGGGAAAGTAGGCGCATGCACAGCACTCTCCGCAACATGCCTGCAATTCCTCCATAGAAAATCATTTATATACAGTGATTGAAAAAAAAAAAGAAAAATAAATAAACCAAAAAACCAGGGCAATCATTAAGCAAAGGAGACGGAGAGATGGTTGTGATGCTGGAAATAAGTTAAATAGCATTAAGGGGGGGAGGCAGGATATGTAAATAGTGTTTTCACAACATATGTGTTCCTGACACTAGTGTTCCTTTAAGCAAATTAAGGGAACATTCTGGTCACCATAACAACTTAATCTAAATGAAAATGATATGATGCCAAGAGGCCCCTGGGCGCTCTTTCTTTTAAGGGGTTAAACCGGCCTCAAATGGTTTAACCTCAAAGGTTAAGTGGTATTAGGCTTCTGAAACGGAGCGTCACGAAGTGCAGATTAACGTCAGGCATGGGTGCCGCTGACTGGCCAGAGTGGTCAGCTGACCGCTCTAGCCAATCAGCGCCACCCCTACCCAGCGGCACTCTATGCTTCCTGACACTCAGTAAATCAAAGTGAACACATTAACACTGATATTTTATTAATTTATTTTTACCTGGGGAGATGAGAAGGTCCAAAGTTTCCCTGCCAGGCCCATGTACCAAAGCCTTATGATGTGGTGTTCAGAATGAAGTGGAGGGATCACTTCACTTGTCCTTCCTGCTCCAATCTTCTTTTCTTCTCCTTCATTTGTCTCCTTCACTCCTTTACCTTTCTGCTCCTTTCTCTTTCTGATCACTTTCTGCTACTTTCGCTCCCTTCTGCTCCTTGCTGACCCTTTCTGCCCCTTGCTGACAAGTCTGTCTGTTACCATGTTGATTTCTTCTCCATATTATAGTTGTTCCCACACCCTCCTATATACCATATATAATAATTGCATATTTATCTTAGTGGATTGTAGCCACACAACCTGCACCTCTTGGCTTCCTATCCTCCCAATATAAAGGTGCCATTTGTGCCTGGAGATTAAACACTATAGCATTAGGAATACAAATGTGTATTTCTAACGCAGTACTCTCGTACTAACTGCTTAGATGTCCGCCCCCCCCCTCCCCGTATCTTAAGTTACCTGTTAGCCCTCTCCACAATGTGCTCTTGCTGCCGGCCCCGTTGCCTTGGCTGAGATTGTCAGTCTTGATCATGTTGCTTAATTCATGCTTCCCTATATAGACGTCTAGTGAGGCTAATGCGCATGTGCGACATTGCACCAATCAAATGCTGCTGTAAATATGGAATTAATGAGAGCTGCCATATAGGGGAAATACTAAAAGGAAAGCATGATAAATGGAAAAATTAGCAAATCCTCAGCGACCACTCTGCTGTCATGTGAAGGGGGATGGTAACAATTTGGAAATGGAAAAATATAAGGATACTTAACTATCAATATTCATCATGCTGTGGATTTCATTATAATCCCAAATTTGGGAAAATCCGGCACATGTAAATGTAGTAGAATGTAAAATAAAAGGTTGTCATTAATCTATCCACCCATTTTATATGGAGAAAATGACCTGTACATAACCAGTATGTACTAGATTTGACCCCACCTCTACATCACCCCGTATCACATGCAGATCCTGTCTTTCAACACCATTAAGTTTCCCCCATTTACCTACGTTCTTCTCATATTTGTTTTATTCAGACAAACATGCAATATGTTCAGATTTAATACAATATATGTTCCCATGAGCCAAATGTGTTTGTATCAATGTCTGTGTGTTAAGGGAAAGTACATGTTAATGTGAATGTTTTTTGTGTTCTGTGTAGTATGTGTGATGTCTGTGAATGTTTGAGTAGCGAAAATTTGCCATTACTTAAAAAAAAAAAAAAAAAAACAGAAAGAGATACAAAAATACATACCAATAGTGACCCATATATGCACAAACACACAGTTACACAAATACAGATAAAAACACTCTGGTAGAAATATACAGACACATATCTGTCACGTACAGAGTCTCTCTCACACACACACACACACAAACAGGCACATTCTCTGCTATACGTATATACAGGCATAAACACACATGCATAGACCTATTTACAGCCACAAAATCAAAGCATACAAAGTCGAATTCAAGGATACACATATATAGACATATAATCACTGATACATACGTTATAAAACCTTAATATTTTTCAAAAATATGTTTTATACAATCGTGGTGTAGACTCCCCTTTTCGTGAGGGTTATTTCCCAGACACTATTTTCAGCGGCTGGTCTTGCTAAGCCCTGAGGAAGCCTGCTGACGGTCAGAGGAGATGCCAACCACCTTACAACGGAAAGTATTGCGAGGAACACAGACCATTTATTTATTTTTTACTCCCCGCCCCCACCCCCCCTCCCTTCCAAATACACACTAGGAAAGTGGGTGAATGTGACCAGAATATGAGCCTCTTCATTCTGAAACATGTGTGACTTAGGGGAACCTCCAGACCATGCATGATGATGTGATTATTTGAACATAAGGTGTATGCATTCAGAGTCCTACAATAGTGGGTGCAGAGGTTTAAACACTGTAAATGCTCAAACACTACAGGCAAGGCAAGACAGCCGTGAGCGGTATGTGAATTCGTAAACTGTGAATACCGCTCAAACTGCTCATGTCCATGAAATGCCCAAGCCCATGAAGGTCATTGAATAGTGAAATAAGCTAGCAAAATCCAGATGTACATGCAAAAAAATATTAAACCGCAGACAGCCTAAAGAGACATCCCACGCTGCTGGCTTTGCTGAGCCATGTCCAGAGACCCTGCATAGCCACACCACTGACTCTCCCAATTATGGTTTTCAATTATGGCTTTCAAAGGAAGTTGATATCCAGAATGTATTGTGTATACATGATTCCAGGCATGAAAGGGTTAAAGACCATATATTGCACACAGTCTACGTGTATATCTTTTCCCGTTTGTAAGCTTACCTACTATCTTATGGGCACCAAAAATGGTAATACTTTTTGCCAAATAGTCTCTAAAGTAAATAAAGGTGTAATGAAAACTTAACACTGATAAGCATGCTGCACCAATATAAATCGGGACCAACTACTTTTAAGTATGTGCAAGTAAAAGCAAAAATATTAAAAAAAAAAGGTTCTCAGCATGATGCCAGCTCGGGTACAATATCCGTATATTTTATGATGGTTACCAGGTATAAATTGTTATATGGCCAAAACATAGTTATGTTACTCTAACCTTGGTCCACAATTTGCCTTTTCAGGCTTACAGTGCCTTACTGGGCATTGCAATTAGGTCCCCCACCAAGAAGATTTTAAAAAAAAAATAAAGAATTTACTAGCATTTAATACAGCGACAACATAGGGGGTCTCATGCGTTCTAATCAGTCTTCTCATAGACTCATTTAATTGGACTGTGTTGCCGGCTCAGAGCACATGTGCGCAGTATTACCCGGTATGAGGAGGGGGTAACAGTATAATTTTAAAATAAATCAATAAAACCACATGTGAGCAACAGATGCGTACAATATGCACAGAGTTGACATCACGTGCGCTGGGAGTGCAACTAGCCCACAGAACACAATTAAAATTAACTCTGAATTTGCAGAGTTTCATGCTGAAGCACTGCACATCCAGGCTCCTACAACCATGACCACTTCAAATCACAAAAGTAACGTTTAACTTTCCTCATTAGAGTTCTTTTGCATTGAGCAAGCTTCAAGATAACAATGTGACTTCTGTGTATCCACAGGGTTATCATGCTGGTGCTGTCATTGTCCACAATGCATTGTGGATTCCAGTTGAAAGATCGATTTATATATTCCAAAACTATTCTTGACCCCCAGCATAGGGTCTCCATTTAATGCATTCAGTGCCCGCCCAGGCATCTTTGTGTCTGCACGATAATTGAGTTATTGTCCGCTAAATAAATTATCTCCCCCAGGTACAGAGTGCCAAACATGGGAAAAAAACAAAACAAAATACAGTGAAAACACACAGGCACCCCACATATCATACATCCCCATATAGCTCTGGTCCGAGCACCCATGTTGGCCAAATAGCACCCGGATCCATAAAGAATTGTCAAATTGGCACCGGGGTAAAGTTTTTACTGGCGGCAAACAAGGACTAAGCCCCAAATAGTTACAGTGTAATCTGCGCTTGGGCCAGTCAAGTAGCGGGAGTTCCCGCACTCAAACGAAAGGAGGCTGCCCCTAGTTCTCAGGGAGCAATTGTTCCAATTAGTCTGTAGTACCTTTCTTCCAAATAGCGCTCTCCTGGCAGATCGGCAAGGGGGTTATAACAGTGGGTCAAGGTGACCGGGAGTCGCAAGGTTAAGTAGCCGTATATGAGTTCCAGGAGGTTTGCAGCTAAGTACTGCTGGGGACTGTGTAACTGAACAACTGCCAAGGAGGGCTCTTTCGGCAATAAACATTTGGGAGAAGGGAAGGCACCATGGGTATAGTGAACAGGTTTGTTTTCGGGGAAAAGTTATGTGTACAAGTACAGGGTCCATCACAAAAATAAATGTTTTTACTAAGATGCCTTTATAGGAAAAATCTACCTAGAGATAGTTTTCTATTCACAATACATTCTAGTCCAAAGGTTATTCAGCATAAAATATTGATTAATTCTATAGCATGCCGTTCTTAGCCAATGGTTTGCCCCATTACCAGAAAACGGGGCCAGGGTACACCTCACATCATACAGCAGGTTGTAGTGGGTATGATGGCTGTAGTAACCCTTCAGTTGTGATAAAATGCACACTTTCAAATCAAAAATATTCTAAAATAATAATACAAAGTTCAGAAAAAGACCTTAATCCCATTGTTATTCTGCAAATCTGTGCACGTAATGCACATAGCTGTATGAGGGATGCTTTTCCAAAACTATTTAAACAGGACATTTCATGCTGGAATTAGATTTTTATGAGTCAGATAAGGGTGACCTTTAGCAGTTTAAGATGTTGGTAGTTTTGTTATTTGGTAACTTACTGTACTATATGTATACTATACTAATGAGACATCGCACTATGGTAATTCAGTGTAATTATAAAGGGTTTTAGCTGAAGTACATTAAAATGTAAAACTGGACGTTCCGACTAGAAATAATAATTACATATTTTGCGTGGCATAAAAAAATGTTGACTGGAAAGGATCTTTGTTTGACTTGTAGGTAGCAAAACAAGGTGGTGTGACTGGGTGTGACATGGCTAAAGTAAATACAGTATACTACACAGTTATACCCCTATCACAATGTCTAGCAAGCAGGGACAAGCACTGGAACTAGAACAGTCACATATGAAAATGTTTTGTCTGCTAAAATCTACTCTTCATTTTTAAATAATCAATAGAAAAGTAAAAAGCACTTCTACTCTGGACTTCACATATCGCCGCAGAAACATCTACTAAAGGAACTGTGTAAGCACCATAACCACTAAAGTCTACTATAGTGGTTATGGTGTCAGGATTTTTCTTGATAAATAGTCAAACCGGTTTGGAAAGTCGCAGCCCCTGTTTCAAGTCTTCTCCTATAGGAGAATCCATTTAGTTCTACAGAGCTAAGCAGGAATGCCGGACTGCACATTTTGGCGGAAAGCGGCTGCCAATTAGCATAGCCCAGGTTTAACTTTATAGTGACATCTAGCAAAGTTCATATTTGTTAACTCACAAGGTCTGTCACTTAGGGAATAAAGACATTACCTGGAAACCACTTGTCAGAGATGGCACCTTCCTCTGTATTACACAGAGTATACAAATAAGGCCAAGCTATGCAACCTCTGTTGTTGTGTTGTTTTTTATTTTTTTTATTTTATTATTATCATTTTATTTTTTTCTTCCAGGTTTTGGACAGTTGCAGCAACTATAATAAACCTTTTTTTTTTTTTACTTTAATATGCATATTGCTCATGTGCCTGGATTGTTGCTTGAATCATGTGGGGTTGTTTTTTTATTTTTTTTCATTTAAAAGAGTACTATAGTGTTATAAATAGTATTAGTATTACTAATGCGATATAGTATTCTATTAGCTATTTAGGTGTACTCCCCTTGTAACCCTCACTGCACTCCCGGTCCTTCTTGGCTAAGATTATGAAGATTGATGATCATATAGGGAAGCATTGCGAAGCTAGTGTGCGTGTGCTACAAAAATTGCCGCTCTGCGACATTCAAATGCTCTATAGAAGCAGCATATTATTGAGAACCGAGTCTGACTCTGTTCTCACAGCGGAAGCACCTCTAGTGGCTGTCAGGAAGACAGCCACTATAAGTATATTAACCATGCAATCTATTTTACTGCTGATCAATATCGGTTTAAAGAATATTGATCTATGAAAAATATTGAAAATCAATTATGTACTTAGCATTGAAAATATTGGATTTCGCGATTCAATGCCATTCATCGAGGGCATAATCCCTGATAGGTGTCCTTGAAAATATCAACAGGATAAAGCTGTATATAAATGCATTTTCTGACTATTTGCTTGCTGGCTGAGGCATGGTGAGTGGGGGCATGGGGGAGGTATAAAACCACCCTCATAATTGTTTTTATGACTAACAGGGTGGCTGGTCATTTAAAAATAAAAAGCAGTACATGTGCTTCTGAAGCACATTTATTGTTTTGTTTTTTGTTTTGTTTTTTTTCCCTCTTTTTCTCAGGCAGCCTGTTTATCGAGTTCAGCTGCTAGAATAACGCCTGGCGTTTAATATATTCAAAATTCGATAAAAACATCAGAAATGAAGTCAATCATTTTTTACTGTGTTTTGCCCGGAGAATGTAATTAAAGCCATAGTGTGCAACTCTATGTGAGTACTGCTCTCTAGCACTCCTAGAATTAGAATCTTGAAATACCTCATATAGTCAACACTACAAACTTCTGAAATGCTTTACGTGTGAATTGTTTTTTTTTTTTTTCATTTTATAAAAGCTCCAGATTTCAATGGCACATATATAAATTAACCTTGTTACACCCTGCCTGGCTGTCAGACAACAGGTCCTGTTATTTCCAAGTTTCGGTGAATCTGAACTCAAGAGGCAGAGAATTGTCCAGGGCACCTGCCTTGCAAAGACTTCTCATTGGGAAGTCTGTGATTGGACATACACAGAAGGTCTGGGGAACAAGGAGAGGGCTTGCAAAAACTGCACACAAGAGATCTGCAGCTTTTACAAGCTGTTTTTAGATATAACCCCAATGAAAAAATGCATGATTAAATGCATGCATGTTTTCATTTGGTGTATCTCTACTAAATAGTTATATATTGCATCACTGTCTTTGTTTCCAAGCACTTGTTTGAGAGGTTAGGAACTAATAAACTACATATATGGGACCAGATTAATTTATGCTATTATTAAAACAAAATATAAATGTTACTTCAACTGTCAAAACAACTACATATCCAAGCCCTAATGGCTGGGCATTACAAAATTGAGGCTTTACAGAAAACCAGGTGTATTTACATACCTCTATAGCTTCCGACTGGCCATACCCGCATTCGGATGTACATCCTGACAGTCACAATGTAGCAAAACTTGTTCTGCAAGTTCTCCATAGACTACCTTGCATTGAATTCAGTGTATTCTTTTTCATATTATTATATTGATTGATTGATCATTTTCACTCACCTTGTGGAAAGTTTGAACCTTTGGATTTGTGTTCACTTCCCATAACATTCAGAAAAAAGCAAATCTCTATGTATCCTTCCTGGTGAAAAAGCTTATAAAGAAATATTCTACCTCCAGGAGATAACTAAATACATCTGTTTTATGTGAGTTGGTAATAACTCTCTTTGCTGCACTATGGCACCTTTCCTGTGTTTATGCTTCAATTTGTTAGCCCAAATAAACATCATAACATAACATCCTTTAATAAGGGTTGTACAACCATGTTCAGCACTAGTTTTCATTGTTATCTATAGTGTACTACTGTAGGATCTTGTACTTGCAGCTACATGTATTTATTAATAATCTGCCTGTTAGGATTTGATTGGAAAAATTGTAATTCACCACCGTTTCTTGTCCCCTCCCACTCCTGCCCCCATGCTTGCCACTCCTAGCTGTAAATACCTTGATGTAACGGTTTATCTACTCCTTCCCTAGGCCCATTTCCCATACCATCTTTACTGCAAGCCTCTAAAATTCTACTTGGCTCAACCCATGCAACCACCCACCCAGGTTCCCCCTAAATTTATAGCATGCTCCTCCAGCTGTTTAAAATTCTCACTCACTTACCTCTTCATTCCCTCTATATTCTACCAATAGCTACAACTCTCTGTTTACTTATTTAGCTATCACTTCCAAATTTCCCCTGCCACTTCTTGTCTCAAATCCCCAGGGTAACCTTTAGGTTGTAAGCTCAAAGGCTATCTACCTATGCACTTTGTATAAAAGAGCTTAAATGGCAAGATTTCAGCTTACGGGCAGGGCCCTCTCTACCTTTCGTATTGGTCTGTCTATATTGTATGTTCTCTACTAATTGTACAGCGCTGTGGAATCTGTTGGCGCTTTATAAATACCAGTAATAAATAGTTTCTCAAATTTATGTAAGTTGCATTTGTTTCTTTGGACTGCACTTTGTGTGATGTAACATTGCTGCACTATGTTAATCTTTTACCACTTTTTATCTGTCCACATAATTGTTGTGCACTTCAGAACTGGCCCATTCAGGCAGTGCCAGGCTCGCATCCAATTAAAGCTGGTGGTGTGTGGCCGCTTCTGTCATTCCCCACTGTGATTAACCTCTGTTAATCCTCTCTTTGTTCGTGAAATAACTATTTCACTACCCCTGGCTCTGTGCTTTTCCGCCTCCATGCTGAACACCCGAAAGCGCCTCTTCCCTGGTGGGCATGAGGTCCCCAGCAGAACCTAGTACCAAAACACCTGGAACACTGGCTCTGTCACATCACTTCCCCATTCCTGGTCAACTTACCCCTCTGTTTTACCCCACTTTCCGACCTGCCAGTAGGGCGCTTTTTGGAGGGAAGGTACTATGGACTGAAAGGACAAATTGCTCCCTATGAGTAGGGAGGAGCCCCCAATAATTGTCAGCATGGATTTTGCTAGCGGTCGGCTCAATCTTTACCGATTTACACAATTCATCTATTCTCAAAGGACCCATGCTATTTTGACAACTTGGGAGCTCTTATCGGAGCTATCAGGGGATATATGATGTGGTGTGGTTTCTGTTTGTTTTCATGTGTTTTTGGAACATTTTCATGTTGGGTCCCCTGTATCCAGGAGATAATTAGCTTAAGTGATGGCTAACTCAATTATCACCTTCCGAGAAGAGAAGCATTAGATTAGATGAAAAGCAAGGAAGCAATGCCTGGGGGACGACGTCACCAGAGGTGGAGCGAGTGGCAGCACTGAGTCTTGGTGCTAGGAAAAAGGCAATTGGAAAAACTGTTTTTCCTCTTCCTTTTTTTAAACTGTATTTAGATAGGGAAGAGAATGCTATAACGTTATGAATACAAAATGCTAGTTATAAAAAAATCTCCAGGCTTCTGTGGGTTAGTGAATGGCCTACCAGGTTCGAGACCAGGGATATGCCTATGTATCTGTCTATATATCTATCTATCTACCTTCAGCACTCCAGATGTAGTGGGCTACATCCCCCATAATGCTCTTACACCCATATTGCTGGCAAAGCATCATGGGAGGTGTAGTCCAAAACATCTGGAGTGCCGAAGGTTGCATATGCCTGTGCTAGACTAAGGGTCTGCATTGCACCAGCCTCCATTATGTAAAAGGGATACTATAGGCACCAAAACAACTGTAGCTTAATTAGGTAATTTTAGTGTATGGATCATGAGTCTGAAGTGTCACTGCTCAATTCTCCCACATTGCCTTAATTTGTAAAATGTGGTAAATGTAAGCTCCTGTCAGCTCCCTTCTCTCTCCTCTGGTCCGGTCAGCTCCACTGCAAGTCTCACGAGAGCCGCAGGGGTCAGAGCACGGCAACGCTCCGCGCGGCACTCAGACCGCGAGACTTACAGGGGAGCTGACCGGACCGGAGGAGAAGGGAGCTGACAGGAGCTGCAGGAAAGGTAAGTAACAACTCTCTGCCAGCCCCCCTCCTACACAGCCAATGCCACTGGACCACCAGGGAATGAGAGCCCCCCTATCTGGCCAGCTAACAAGCAGGGAGTGGGGACGAATACAAATAAATAAAAAATTAAATAATAATAAAAATATTAATAATATAAAAAAAATATTAAAATAATAATTAAAAAAATAAAATAAAAATGCCCACCCCCCACCAAGGCTCTACATCATATACATACACACACACACTGCATTCATACACACACCCACACTGTATTCATTATATATACACACACTGTAAATAAATATTCAATTAATATAATTTTTGGGGGGTGTAACGGAGCTCCCTGTACTCCGACCGAGTACCCTCCGTTGATGGATGCTCCTAGCGCTTCCTGAGGACTCCAAACACTGCAGCAGACACCACAACCACCGCAGACTCCACAACCGCCGTAGCTTAACTGGAGTCTCGCCGTCTTCCTTCCACCCTGGATCAGCTTCTGTCCTCCAGGACCGTGTGGGGAAGACCTCTCCTCCAGGAGAGCGTAACAGGAACAGCTCTTAAAAGAGCTAAGTGATTAAAAGCTCAGGGGAGTATGCAGAGCATAGCAATCCCCAGTGTGATATAGCAGTTCCCTCCAATAACGAGACAAGGCTACGTATTGAGGGTCAAGAAGATCTGATGTTTAATGGCACACACTCTGCTTTTATGAGATTCTGCCCATGCAAGGGAGACACCCACATAATTAGCAGTATAACCAATCGGAACAATATACATTCGGGGAAATTCCCATCCCTCAGATAATCACATAACATAATTAAAACAGAACAGTAAAAATACAGTTTTTATACATGTACTATAACTTCCAAACTACACATCCAATCTTCATAAAAATTACATATTTGGAATCAATCCATTAAGGGGAGCAACATATTAAAAAATGGCACAAATCAGACAAGGGGTTCAAAAGTTAGCAAAAGTGTATTTTGGGGCCTGGCTGGCAGCATGGTTTTCTGGCCCAAACCGGTTTTACAGAGGCCTCTATCCTGGACAATGGGGAAAGTAATCCAATTATCCAGGGATAGAGGCAGACTCCATTAACCACATGTTAGCAAAAGACACAAAAAGACACAAAAATACATAACTCCTATTGAACTGAACAGAACCCCCACATTCAACCTATCCCCAGATGGCTTGGATCTGAGCGCTCAATATATCCAAACAGCGCTCAGATCCCACAAATACAGTCAAATCGCCATACACACTAGGTCCATAGTCATGGGGCAGAAGGCTGGCAATTAGGCTTCTCCATAACACAGGGAAGCAGGGCAATTTGTCAAATAAAATAACAGTTACAAATGGCAGTTTGTAACAGGGGGATATAATTTTATTTAGAAATTTACCAGTAGCTGCTGCATTTCCCACCCTAGTCGGGTCAACTTATACTCGAGTATATACGGTATATATTTTTAGGAGTATTTTGCTGTCATTTTCTAACTGTTCACTAGATGGCGCTTTAGGGTCATTGTAATCATACATGTGCGTAATACTTTGATACAAAGTTATTGTTTTTAGATATCATGTCTCGTTTATTAAATCACTTTTATGTACATTTATGGCTATTTTTTATTCTTCATTATTTAAAAATTTAATTTTTTTTTTTTTTTTTTTTTAAATCCTAAGCCAGGCAGTTCTGGGCATGGAAGATGTGATATTGCATAAAATAGTGCATCTTTAATAGCAACAATACATTTGACATTTATTTTCCACTTTTTTTTTTTCCAACACTGATTTTATTTGAAATATACATAACACAAAACAGATGAGCACTTCCTAAAAATGAATGGACCAGCACAGGGCTCAAAATTTTGACTCGCCACTAGCTCTTCGGAAGTGAAAATTTAGCTCTGGTGAGCATACAATAGCTTGCATTGGCAACATGGGTGAACCTAGGGCATTTGGCACCCGAGGCAGGTCCTTTGTTTGGCACCCCATTTTACCTGAATTTTATTTTTAATTTTTTTTATTTTTATTTTTTTATGTATAGCACAAATTTGTAAACTTTATAAAACGCATGTTAGTTCCTTCTACAAAACCCCTGTCCTGTCCCTCTCCTACAAAACCCTGCACCCCAGACACCCAGTTACAGGCATACAGTCACACACAAAGTTACAGGCATGCAGTCACACACACAGTTACAGGCAGACACTTACACACACACACACACACACACAGTCAGTTACAAGCAGACAGTAACATATACAGTCACACACACACGGTCACAGGCAGACAGTCATATTTACAGTCACATGCGCACACACACATAGTTACAGTCACACACACAGTTACAGGCAGCATCAAACAGTCACACACATGGTTACAGGCAACATCACACAGTCACTCACAGGCTGACAGTCACACACAGTTACAGGCAGACAGTCTCTCTCTCTCACACACACACACACACACAGGCAGACAGTCTCACACATAGCCACAGGCAGTCATGCACACACACAGTTACAGGCAGACAGACACACACACATTCTTACTTACAGACAGTGGGATGGAGGAGGAGTGGATTCATTGAAGTCATTCCTTGGAGCCTGTTGGAGAAGCAGGGATTCCTTCTTGCTGCACCTCCATGTGCAGCGGGTAAGGGCGCGTTGAGCTCCACCCCTGCTGCCAGTTTGGCTCTGCCCTGACTTTTCTTAGCTCCACCTCCACTTTCCTACCGTGCGGCCAGTTCAGCTGGTAATTGCTGGTTTCTGTGTGTGTAAGCTGTGCCGGCACCCCAGCTGCCATCGGGCACAGCTCCTATATCTCCCTCCAGCACCCAGACCAGGATCAAGGTTCCCCTTAGTATGCCTCTGATTGGCAAGTAACTTTTACAGCCTGGCTAGTAACATACAATTTAAAAATGTAAGTCCTGGTCCAGAACTCTCCAAAAATAATGTTGGGTCACAAAGCAGCACAGGTGCACAGTGGTGGGGGTGGGGGGTAATTCCGTTATCTGACACTGGACGTCCTCACGCTCTGCACGATTACCTGCAGTGTCAGATTTTCCCCGTAGGATTGATTCATTGATTTGATTCAATGCTTTCCTATGGGGAGGTCTAATGCGCACGCAGCATTTGCCGCGCATGCACATTAGACCCCGCTCGTTGCGGGACGGTGGAGGGGGCGGAGCTTCAACCCAGCGCTGAGGGACAGGTAATTATTTACTGGGGGGGGCACGAGAGCGTATCAGTAGTGACAGGAATACAGCTTTGTATTCCTGGCACTACAGTATCCCTTTAACAACTTTTAACCCCTTAAGGACACATGTCATGATTCCCTTTTATTCCAGAAGTTTGGTCCTTAAGGGGTTAAAGTAAATGGGTAGGAATGTAATGCTGCCATTGTATAATGATCTGGTAAAATGTATAGTAAGTATGAACATTTTTTTTCATACATTTTTTCTTATTCCTGATCAAACATGGCAGCATTTACTTATGGCTTACACCCAATCAGTATATATAGTGGGAAGGATAGAGTACAAATACAGCTAATGGATACAAAAAAAAAAAACATTTATTGAGATGCACAAACCTCAGAAAAAGACTGCCTTGCCTTGAAGGCGAGCCGCGAGTTTGACATGCTTTCTAAGGCAGAGTAGGCACCTGCTCTCCCCACATTGCAGGTGCCTACTCTGCTAAAACTTACCCGGCAAGGAGTAGAGGTTGCTGGCTGCAGCGAGGGAGCTCAGTCTTCCTGCTCCTCACTGGTCCCTAGCGTGCACCGCCTGTAGTGATGCCGGAATATGAGGTAATTCCGGTACCACTAAACTGCCCGCGTGAGGGAGCAGGTAGGAGAAGATCCCCACTGGACCCCAGGCAGCGGCCCCACACTAGCTCCCAAAGGTAGGGAACAATAAATAAAATGGTGTGTCTCTGTCAGTGAGTGTGTGTTGGTCAGTGTTGCGATGGCCGTGACTGGACAGTGGAGGAACTGGAGTTGCACGCAAGGCCACGTCACATTCCGACGTGATGTCAACGTGCCCCACCTTCACAGGGTTTCAAGAAATAGCGGGATAATCCGTTTTGGCACAGGGTGCGGACGGTGCCATTGGGGGTATACCAGAGGCTGGACTTCGAAGTCTCATACTGGCAGCGGCAATGTGAGTGAAGTCTGCTTGTTGGCTAATAATGTTTTTGTTTGTTGTTTTTTTTATTTTGTTTTGTTTTTTTTAAACATTGGCTGGGGTTTAGAAGAGGGAGAGGGTTGGAGGGGGGGGGGCTGGGATTTAGTATAGAGGGAGGGAGACTCTGAATTAATATAGGGTGGGGAGTGGGGTTTAGTAGACGGGATGCTTTTTTTTTTTTTTTTAAATGTATACTGTACCTTTCAAAACAAACCTGTTTCTATAAAAAAAATTAAGGTGTTTTTTTTTTTTTTTTTCTTTTCTTTTTTTTGCCGCCCACATAAACTTTAACCTTGTTTATTTGGCCCATGATAGCCCTTGAGTTTGACATGCTTAGTTTAGGGGGTTGTTCTATTTATACCAATTTCAGAGTTCTATTTTCTGTCCCTTCTTCTGTGATGGGAAGAGCTAACCCAATAGTAAATGCCATGTTTGATCAGAAAATCTAAATAAAACCCCATGCCGCTTGTAAACTGGATATATTAGTGTGAGTGGCAACGTTAAAGGGACACTATAGTCACCAAAATAATTTTAGCTTTGCTTAATGAATCCGTTTTAGTGTATAGATCATGCCTATGAATTTTCACTGTAATATTTCATTGCCATTTTGGAGTTAAATCACTTTTGTTTCTGTTTATACAGCCGTTGCCACACCTCCCCTGACTGTGACGGACAGAGCCTTCATAAGAACAAAATAGTTTAATTTTCAATCAGATGTAACTTACTTTAAAAGTGTTTGTCTCCTGCTCTGTAAATTGAACTTTATTCACATACAGGAGGCTATTTGATGGTCTAGCAAGCTATTAACTGAGCAAAGGATAAGAAATTCTAAATTAAACAGAATTTGCAATAAGGAAGTATAACAATTAGATCACTCTTTACAGGAAGACTTTAGAAAGGCTGTGTAATTCACATGCAGGGAGGTGTAACTAGGATGCATTAACAAAGTGATTTAATTCCTAAATGGCAGAGAATTAAGCAGTGAGACTGCAGGAGCATGGTCTATACCAGGGGTAGGCAACATACGGCACCAGTGCCATGCACAGCACTCAAGGTGTCTTTGCATGGCACTCAAGGCTGCTAGAGCCAAACAGGCTCTGGCCTATCAGGAGTCCCAGTGAAACGTCAGATATCTGCTAATACAAAAAGGACAATCCTCAATTTATGCATTGCAGCACATAGAGTAAGTGATCTCTGGTCCCTTCCTCCCAGCACTTGTGAATGGGAATCCACACTGTGGTAGAGCAGCCCACAGCGGATATTGCAGCTCCTGCCCTTCACCTGTACCTGGCCAGCCTGGTGTCCACTGGAACCTAGGGAAGCCACCCATACTGCTAGATCTACACCAAAATGCACAATAACCCTCCCCTCATAAAAATAATACTAATAGCCCACAAACAAACGTACACACAATCGGCACAAAAGTTACCCACTAACAATCCACATACATGCACACAACACCACATACAGCCTTTCACATGCAATACCCCACACATACACACACTACCAAACACACAATTTGGTGACCCAGACACATTCATCCACACACAATTCCACAAGCAGCCCCAATACACAGCCCACATTCATTGAGCTTAAGTGGTCTGGGTGCCTATAGTGGTCATTTAACTGGCATACATGTGTTAACTGATACAAGTAATTTTCTTCACTAAGCATAGAGACAGCAACATATAATTAATATGTTTCCTATCGCAATCTATTTTCTCGTTTACGTTCTCATTAACCTACGAACACAAACAGTCTGTTTTTGACAGGTTTGTTGATGTGTATGTGAAACTGTGAGAAGCAGGAGGTTAAAAATGAGACCCTGTGCCAAGTGTCCTCAGGAACATTCTAATTTGTTTCTCTGTGGGCACTCCATAACAGCTAGTGCTTTCTTAATAAAAATTGTTTCCATTTTATATTAGAAGTTGAAGTTCCTAGAACTTGTTTAGCACAGTCATCAAGACATCATTCATCAAGACTTAATCTAATAAATATTGAAATTTAAACAAGTCTTGGGTGCAGCAAAATATGATAATTTCATGTTAGAATGTTTGTATTTTGTACAGTAAAGATACAAATGATCCATATATTGAGAGCCCTTATGAAAATCTTTGAAGTGACATTTGACCTGTTTTCTGTATTATTATATACAGAGAACCTTATAGTGTTGTTACTGTGAAAGTTTGAGTGTTTTGTTCCTTTGCTAGTATCTTCAGTGCTTGTTTTGTTACTGACTGGTGTGATTGTATAAAACTTGTTGCATTAAGGTGATGTGTTTAGCTTTTGCATTTTTAAAACCTTGTTGCTAAATCTATCATGCTCAAAATGTGTGTATTTATAGGTACATCAGTATGTCACAAATGATCTGAAATGCATGATCGACTGCCTCAAGCAACTCTGAGATACCTTCCCAGAATGTGGAGAAGTGTCATACTCCTATGGTCAGTCAACCTGTGCCTGTCCGCCTACAGGATAGAATCGCAAACAGAAAATGGGTTCAAGCTACTCAAGATTGGTGGCATTAGCAACAAGACACAATGTAGACAAGAATGTAAATCTGAGCAATACCCAGGTGAGTTTTTGAAAGCTGAAAGGAAGATTCCGGGCACCATAACAACTTAAATACAATTAAGTTGTTATGGTGCTAGGAGGCATGAGGTGCTTTTATACCTAAAGGAGGGTTAAACGGTTCTCAAACGGTTTAACACCAACGGTGCCGGATCTGGGATTCCCCCAGTCCTTGAAATTAAGGGTCAGGGTTAGCTGATGCTCTTAGCCAAGCAGTAGCTCTCCGTTCAAAAAAAATATTTAGTTATTTTATTTATTTTTCTTATGAATAGGGAGCTACTGATTGGCTTAGATTACTGGAGGCAACCTTTGGGGTTAACCTTTTAGGTAAGAAGGGGCCTTTTGACACCATTTCAAATTTATTTAAATGAAGTTGTTATGGTGCCTGGAGTGTTTCTTTTATTTATACATTTTTATAGTGTTTCCATATGTCCCTTGCACTAGATTTACTGTGCCTTTATAAACCGATATTTTAAAGGTGAACTTTAATTAGTAGCCTGAAAAAAATGTATCATTGACAAATTCATGTTCCACAATATAGTAGACCATTTATAACACAAAGTCATTTGTGGCGGAACACACACACTAATATGCATTCTATTAGATTCAACTCCAACACTTTTGTGTCATAAAGGCCCAAGATGTGGTCATGATTGCCTTGTACTAAAGATGTTATGGGTACATTGGAACCTGATCCAGAGCCTCACCTGAAGAACTTACCTTGGTGCATTTACATTGATTAAAGACAGCCAAAAACAAAGTGCAACCTAGATAACTTAGGATGGGCAAACGTGTTGGCTTTCTTGTGCCATTAGAGAGAGAACCTGAAAACCCAAAAGGTTGGCTCACAATTGAAATGCTTGGAAGGCTCCATCAACCCTCGAAGATTGTTTTAGCCTTGGTGGCCTCTTCAGAAAGGTGTGATTGGTACCTTTTTTTGGGCTTAGTGAACAAGTGGTTCATGATAGGGCTCTTTTTAAATAAAACTTTTCAATTATGTAAACATTTAACTATGACATAAACCCTGCATTGTTATCCTTGTGTGTTTTTCACACTATCCCTCATTAAACTTATCACTGTTCTCATACATAACATTGGATGTGAAGTGTTTATGAAACAAGCTTCTGGTCTGAAAAGAAAATGTCTATTAATTTAATTTATATTCGTGAGTGACTTTCATCTTTATGGCATACACAGCGATTGTATATTTTAAATCAATATCTGTCAGTTATATTTACATTTAACGAATGTCTGATTCACAGGCTCCTCAGTATTTGGCTTGGAATATTTTGTGTAGTGAAGATCTATATGTGGCTCAATGCAAACGTACTATGCATCTGGCATTTTAAAACGACAATTATGATGGATTATATCTTTCATAGTGCTGTATTTTAAGATGTCTGCTTTTAACGGCTGTTAACCAAGTTCACCTCCATTGCAGAACTAATATCGCATGGCTGTGTTAGCTTGTGGTTTGTAGAGTGTTTTATATTCTGAGAGCAGGACTGAATTTTTTTAGATATGTATAGTTATAGTATTAGTTTTGTGACCTCTGTTGTAATACTCTATAAATGGGAATATTACCTCATTGTTCATTGGATATATGTATAAAAATGATTGTGATCACATGTTATAAATTACATGTTACTGGACATGTACTATGTTCTTTTTCGTTTCTTAGTAAATATATATTGTGGTGTGGATTGGATTAGAATCTTCATCATTAGATCTGTCAATTTAAGACAGTGCTTAACAGGGGGAGGGGTGAAATCTAAACTACACTCTGCCTGTCTGTAGGAGAGTGGTGACGGTGAGGAGCATAGGTATTAAATTATCCAAATTGCAGTCATGCAATAGAATATACAAAACCATGGCAGTGAAACCAGATGCATGATGGTAAATAATTATTGGATGAGAATTAAGTGGCCTTAAAGGACCATTATAGTGCCAGGAAAACCTACTCGTTTTCCAGGCACCATAGTGCCCTGAGGGTGCCCCCACCCTCAGGGACCCCCTCCCGTCGGGCTCTGGGGAGAGGAAGGGGTTAAACACTCACCTTTCTCCAGCGCCGGGCGGGGAGCTCTCCTCCTCCTCTCCGCCTCCTCTCCTCCTCTTCGGCTGAATGCGCGGCAAGAGCTGCGCACGCATTCAGCCAGTCTCATAGGAAAGCATTCATAATGCTTTCCTATGAACGCTTGCGTTTTCTCACTGTGATTTTCACAGTGAGAAGCACGCAAACGCCTCTATCGGCTGTCAATGAGACAGCCACTAGAGGCTTTAGAGGCTGTATTAACCCATTTATAAACATAGCTGTTTCTCTGAAACTGCTATGTTTATAAAAAAAAGGGGTTAATCCTAGAGGGACCTGGCACCCAGACCACTTCATTAAGCTGAAGTGGTCTGGGTGCCTAGAGTGGTCATTTAAAGAGAAAATTACTGTAACACGCTCATAAAGATTGTAAAAAAAAAATAAAAGAAATAACAGAAAACGTTTTGTGCTTCAGTATACTTTAATATGGTCATGTGTCCTAAAAAACACACATTTAACAAAAGTATTTTCTGTTCTAAATTCTTTAGCAGTTTTTTAAACGTGGTAAAGCCAGATGTTTACATGTACTAAAGCCAAATTATTTGTTTTCGCTGTCATGTAAACATTAAAGGGGTTCTTTAGGCCAGTCACCCAGTTTTTGATCTATGTTTTTTCTCATTGACCAACCCTCATCAGCAACATTGATAATTCAGCATTATCAGTTCTACATTTCTGTAAAGTGCTAATTCCTTACTACCAACACAGCCAAGAAAGGGGATGTTTTATGGTCCTTGTTTTACGGATGTGACTCTGTGTACACATCTTCTGAAGCATGCAAGCAAAAAGATCTCTGCATTTGTGTGCTCAACTAAGTGTTTAAAGTGTGATAGGTCTTCAGAAAGGCTGAGCTGAGAAAAGTCATTTGTTCACTTAATAACAAATAAGTAGGCATTTGTTTATGACAGCGTTCTTGCTTCTCAAAGTCTTGACATAATATGGTGGGTACCTACTTTTATGAAGTTCAACTAATGAAAGAGTGGATCTTTTAGATGGTAACGTTACAAACCTTGGGTGAGTCCCCCTTTTTTTTTTTTTTTTTTAAATTAATTTTCTTGCTCTCCACAGGTGTTCCAGGGTCCAACAATATGGACTCATACAATGTACATTGTCTTTCCATTGCACAGAAAAGATGACCGGATAGGATAATTTAGATTGGGTAGTAGTCAGACCCTGCGAAAATCCCTGCGTCTGAGAAAACTTTAAGAGTTAGAAAATTCTGTGCTAAGAAATAGATAATCTATTTGATAAGAAGAGTGGGCCAGAGAGAAAAATGAACAGTTGCTGTCATCTATATGTGTCCAGTAGTTAACCAAACCTTAACAGGCCATAAATGTTTTGATACTACAAAGATGGTAAGGGGGGATATGCCTAGCCCTACAAGAGGTGCTCATCACAGGATCCAATGGAACATTTGTCACCCCCAACAACCTACTTCCGCTCTCAGAAATTCTTAGGGTTGCCATCTGGGAAATTAAAGTATGATATGCCACATTAGGTACATTGATGGATGCAAAGGTGCAACTTTTGGCTACAATCGTACTTTTCATAAATAAATCTCCCATTACAGTTCTGTTAAAAGGCCATGTAAATATTGTCTTAACATTCATGTAATGTGAAAAAATCCAGTATGGTAAAAGTTCACTTGGAAAGGGTGGAGGATTCTACCCAATGTGCGTCTTTTGAATTCATGCCACTGGAACTCTCCACAAGCATAGTTTGTGAAGTTCCCTGGGACAGTCAAGCCTTTCACATTATAGGAACTAAAATGCAGTTGTGCAAGGACCTAATGACTATTCATAGTAGGCAGGGATAGAAATGAGAGAACACAAGTAACGTCCAGCGCAAATGTGGATTAGTACCAGACAGGGGAGAGTCCTCATTAGGTATATTGTAGGAAAGAGCCTGCATCTCTTGCTGGTGAGGTCCGCACATAATCCTGTTCAGATAGGTGAAATTTAAACCCTTACCAAGTGTGGGTCAAACTAAAATATTAAAGGGTTATTATAACACTTTGTAGAAGTGGGACCTTTTCGGTGTAAAATGCCCTATTGGGCACTGTAGAGAAGGTTCCCTCTCACAATTTGTAGTAAAATCTCAGAAAACAAAAGGTTCTACTTACCTGAAATTCAGCACCGGGCAAAGCTTCCAGTGCTACTGTAACAGATCCCCTGTTGCTAAATTACTATTTTTCATTGACTGGATCGGTATATGAACCCCACCGAACAGATTGGCCCTTTTTGGTTCGTATACCGAATAAGGTACCGAACACCCGTGTGCCGCTCATTAACCCACTTGACCTCACTAACACTTTCCCAAACCGCAATCACTTCAACATTCTAAGTGGTCAGCTGGGTGGCCATCGTTCGTATGGACGAACACGAGGCAGCGGCCATCTTGGTTTTCGAATGCACCAGGTGGCACGAACACCGCTGAAACCTCCACTACCATCTATGTTCGTTTCCATCCCTCTAAAAGGAGCGGCGTTCGGTGGGAGTATACTCCTGAACAAAATATACTGTATAAGCATACGCACAAACAGTTTATTCACATTTATTGTTACATTTTGTACTCCCGAAAGAGACCAACCTCACAGGCTGAATTCATGGAACTCTTTTGGGCAAACGCCTCGTGTGCGTCAGTCTAAACTATACCCCGGTGGCGATTTGGCTATGTTCGTGCTCTTTTCTGATATGTTGGACGCTCAGATCCAGGCTATCTGGGAATATAGTACTTGAGGGGGTACCTCACTGTTAAAGGAGTGTTTTGGCGGTTATTCCTATATATGTCCTGGACCTGAGATTTAAAATAATTATGCTGTGTACTTTGTATCTGTCCCCTCTCAGGTCCAGCAGGGGTGATTGTAGGGAACAGCTATACCTACTTTATTTACCGCTTGGACATCTACTTGGGAATGCTACAGCACTACTTACACTAGAGGGAAAGGGCATCTCTGGTGGTGGAAACCCCTCTTCTCTCAGGGTGGCTGCCGCAACTGCTTTTCCGCACACTCGCCCGATGTCACTGGGGCAGCACATGGTCCAATCACAGGCTTCTCATAGAAAAGCCTGTGATTGGAGCATTTTGCCAGCTGAGAGGTTATTTAAAAGCAAAGGGAAGATATTTGTTTGTTGCCAGCATGCAAGCAATACATTTATTTTTTGTTTGTTTGTTTTGTGTTTTTTTTTTTTTTTTGTATGTTTATATTTTTGTATTTTGAATAGGAAGCAGCATTTCCCCTTATTTTACTTAGGAATTACCTCCCAAATTTGGCAATTAAGTGCTACCAATAGACAAACTCAACTAATCCTCTCAAACTTAGTGGCTAACCCACATTAAATCCCTTACAAGGCAGCGGAATCTGGGAAAGTCTTGGTAAAGGGATATTTGCCATGAATTGCCATCTAGGTATTGAGTGAACCAGTGAGATCTCTGGGGCTCTTGCTAACCAAATTCAGATTAAATAATGATGAAAGGCTTCAATAAGAGGTTTAGAAGCAGGAAACTCCTAGAAGCCTCAGATGAGTATATTGCACTGCTGCCACTGATTGTCGAGGTCCTCCAATTGCCTTCTTATGTCTACCAGCAAGACACTTTTACACTGGATTATCAATTCTGCTGCACAATCTAGTTGGACCAGCCAAATCATGCTGGCATATAAATCCAAGACATGCCTCGAAACTTACCAGTTTTGTGCAGGGGCCCAACAATTTCAAATCAGATCGTGTCCTTGATCTCAACAGGATGTCAAGGTCAGTTTTGTGGTCATAATTTGGGAGAGTGCCTGCAGGTCATCCATAATCTGAGCATTGGATACACCAGGCTCCATATCTGGTGGTGTCTCTTGGGAAAAGCCTGAGTATTTAATTATGTCTCTCCTACTAACATCAGTAATGTAGAGCAATTTTACATTTATAATAAATATTTTCAACTGTGACTTAACCAGCACATTTTAGGTTATTAGAAAGTTACTTGCTTAGTTTTTAGTTTTCTTGATCTCCAATACACAGATGGCCAAAAGGTCGACCCCAATTTAAGACTATCACAGTATCATGGAAAGTGTAGTTTTGCAGCAGTCGTGATTACCTTTTGTCAAACCCTGCTCCAGGGTTAAAACCCAGGGATAAAAAGTAGATTATTTTTAATTTAATGATTTGGGAGGAAATGTATATCTAAAGATCATTTTCTATTTAAAATACATTAAAGTCCATTATTCTCTGAAAAGGCAGTGTTTAAACTAAAAGGACTGCATGGACAGGCGATTGACACCAGAACAACTTAATTAAGCTGGTTGCTGTTGACTATAGTGTCCCTTTAAATGCATGCATGTTTTCATTAGGGGTACATCTACTAAACAATGATTTTTAAATTTATATATTAATATTTAATTATTTTATTTATAGATATATATCTGATTTATATCTTTACATTTTGTTCTTGGACACTGGAGTATCACTTTAATTTGCTTTTCTCCAAACATGAGTGATTACCAGTTAAATTGAATTAGTTTCTGCATTATAAATCTATGCATTTCTTTCTTTTTTTGTGGGGGAGGGGGTTTGTTTGGTTTCATTGCACATATAACAGTACAAAACACTAATGCATTCAGATTACGTAGCATGGTTACATACATGAGGTTATACAATAGTTGGTTTAGGTTCTGTCGTCTTATTGCTTGTGTGCTTCCCATATTTCCCTCCACTCCATACCCTCTAGTGTCTCGCCAAGGTCATCTTTCCATTGGGTTGTATAGTGCAACGCTCCCCAGTTTGTGTTATTGGAGCTCAGGTGGGCAGAAACTGATGTAATGAGCCCGTTCGGAGGTTTTTTAAAGCTAGTGAGTGCCTTATTACATAATTACATAGCTGAAAAGAGACTTGCGTCCATCAAGTTCAGCCTTCCTCACGTTTGTTTTTTGCTGATGATCCAAAAGAAGGCAAAAAACCCAGTTTGAAGCACAATTTTGCAACAAGCTAGGAAAAAAATTTAAATTTCTTCTTGACCCCAGAATGGCAGTCAGATTTATCCTTGGATCAAGCAGTTATTACCCTACATTGAAAGATTATATCCTTGAATATTCTGTTCTTGCAAGTATGCATCTAGTAGCTGTTTGAACATCTGTATGGACTCTGATAAAACCACTTCTTCAGGCAGAGAATTCCACATCCTTATTGTTCATACAGTAAAAAAACCTTTCCTTTGCCTTAGACAAAATCTTCTTTCTTCCAGTCTAAACGCATGACCTCGTGTCCTATGTAAAGTCCGGTTTGTGAATAGATTTCCACACAATGGTTTGTATTGGCCGTAGCTTATGGCACCTGAGGTTCCTAGTTGGTCTCCCATACAAGTACTAACCAGGCCCGAGTCTGGATAGCTTCTGAGATCTGACGAGATCAGGCACTTTCAGACTGGTATGGCCGTAGGCAAATGGGCCGTTTCTTTCACTAGTTTTTGTTGGGCAAAGTCCCTGATCTGCAGGTACCTGAACAAATCAGGGGGTTTAGTGAGGCCTTCTCTTTCAGTGCCTCGAAAGTAATGATTTGGTCACCCTCATAGAGATGAATAGCCCTCTGTAACCCCATATATTCTATGGTTTTTATAGTCATATGCTTTCATGCCCGGGGGGAATGCCCTGTTTCTCAATATTGGCATCAATGGTGAGGTCAACTTGCATTTCAGTGCCGTTTTGTCCCAGACTCGGAGTTCAATATTGCTGGGCATTGTGTGCATATAAGTGCTCTATGTTCCCTGGGTAACCAAATATAAAAGTGAGGTAGGTCAGCTCCCAGCATGCTAGATTCTAGATCTGCTCATCTGCGCTCGTCTGGTGTAGAGTGCCACATCGCTGCCCGATCGAGTCGCGCAAGGAATGTGGGCGCATGGACCCTTGCCTCGTGACACTGCCTTTTAGTCTATTCCTAATTGTATCTAGGTGTATACCCGTGGTGCCCCTTGGGTGCGTTGTGGCCAGTCATCTGGCATTGATATAGTTCAGTTCATAGGTACACACGGGCTAAAGCATCAGGCAATATCATACATTGCAAGGCATATGCAGTGTACATTTGAAAAAGTCCCTTTGTGACGAAACGCATTATGGATATTTGAATATTGTGTTTTTATATATATTAAAGTATTTTTGGACATTTGGTTGTGCCAATTATCTTTTTTATAGACACATATCCTCCTTTTTACCCTGGCCTTTTTATTGTTATTTTAATTATTTTTACTGGTTTTAAAAAGAAACCTAAAAATTCCTGGAAGTTTCCTGTACCCAAAGAAATCCATAGGTGGGGATCAATCCACCCAAGCTATCATCAAAGAGCAGTGGGTCTGCTCTTACTTTGTAAGTACATTTCTTTTATCATTTTATTAATATCTGTCATACAGTGAGCACTATTGGCTGTTTGTTTTATCCCGAGAATTGGACATCATTCACGGAGAGGAACCTGCCTTATATCCCATAAGCGGGGATTAAACCGCTGAACGCGCTTTACCCCAGAGCTGGACATTAGCTCTGGTAAATGTGAGTTGTATACTATTATTATTTTTTTACGTCTATACCCGAATTTTACATACTACACCATTGGATGTCCTTTTTCCCTCTTTTTATTTTTCATAACAAGTGAAACCACTACAAAACTAGAAGACCCTACAAACAAAGGACACTTATAAGAATATACCAGTTGGACTGCCTCTCCTTTTATTGGACTTTATTTAATGTGCGCAGCCTTTTATTGTTTTTTGTTTCTTCCAGGGCTGACTCTGTCGACGTGAGCCTCATGGTGAGTTGTTGTATCTGTGTGGATACAGCGTTGTGGACTCCTGTCTCTGCTCCAGGACTACCGTCCTGTAGCCCAGCGCAGCTATTTCTGCTTTTACCTCATTGGTGGACTTGGTGATCTCTGCACCATCATCCTGGTGCTCGGTCTGAGCTGCATGGGAAGCCGCAAATAGGTCTGCCACAGTTGCCCCCGAGTTGGGCGTCTTCTTTGGGGTTCTTTCGTTCATCACAATGCTGTTGGTGTGGGAAATTATCACCTTTGATAGCTGTTGTATGCTTTTAGGCCTAGTTTTGGCGAGGAGCTCAGCCTACAAGCGACTGATCAGCTCCGTGCTCAGGCAACGCACCCTCCTATCTATGCATTTCTGATGGCATATACAAATAACCAAATCTGTTATATTATAACCGTTCAACAAATTTGAAAAGTAACCTAAATATGAACTCTTTGTCTGGTTGCAAATATTACAGATTATAACATCCAGCAAGAACTCTAAACTTTAAATAGAGTTTTACTGACTAGTGATTTAAATCAAATCCAGCCTGCTCTAGTACATATTAATTTAGAATAGTGAGAAGATGGACCCTCTAATAGCACAATGAATATTCGTACAGCTAGAACCACCAATTGATAGCACTTCACAAGTATCTTCTTTAAATTGTCGGTTTATTCTTAAAACGGCACTGTCATGTCGAACTTGCCTTTCTCTAATCGCTTCCTCTTCTCTTTCTCTCTCAGGATCTGTTCTTCATTTCTTCCTGTCTGCTCTAGTTTTCTTTCAAACATAAGACAAAGTAAGGACTATTTTGTCTTATGTGTTTGTCCTACGCCTGACCTGCTATGACCAGTAGAGGAGTAAAGTGTGCTCCATTTCCTGTGGTCAGAGCAATATCCCATAAGTCTCACCTTTCCTATGTTATTTCGTGATTCATTTAGACAAAACGCAGGTGAAACTACTGAATTTCACCCTAACAGAATCAGAACAGTTTGTTCATTCATGTTAGGATGACAATCGGTACTTATAGGTCAGTTCAAATTCTGATTCGTGCTGTGGCTGCATCTTGCAGCCGCTGAGCAGATGGCTCCCTAATTCCCACGGGATAGGGAGCTATCTACCAAAAGGCTGAAAGAGTTGGTCTTTCAGCCATCTTTACTAATACCAAGTAAAAATTACTTAGTATTAGTAAATAATCTGCGAGTAGGGGCATGTCTAGTAAACAGTGAGCAGACTGTTGTCAGAAATAATAAAAAAATGCCTCCCCCCAATAAATGGCCTCTACGTTTACTTGTCACCGCACTCTGATTGGTTGGTTGGATTCCAAGCCAATCAGATGGTTACAAGTCATTTTATATAGCATGGGAAAGTTCTTTGGAATTTTCCCATACTGTGTAATTTGACTCATAACTCATGGTTATGAGTCAAATTACACAGCATGGGAAATGTCCCTCTGATTGGTATGAACCAATCAGACTCATAACCCTCTGATTGGCTGGATTCCAAACTAACCAATCAGTGTCGACAGGCAAATGTAGAGACTTAGCTGTTAGTGTCTTAATTTACCTGTGAGAGCACTCTCATTGGTTGGCTTAAACCAACCAATTGGAGTGCTTTGAGACAAATTGCAGGGTGTGGGAAGGCTTGATATTTACAGGTATTTACTTTTATGTCTCCCCCTTCACTATTTTTAGTGTGAGGGTGGAAGGTAGGGCTTTATTTATTTTATGTGGGGGGGGGGGACTAGGGTCTTGGGGACCCCTAGTCACCTGGTGGGGTGGATTTTTACACTTAGCCCCCACTCGTCGCCCATGGGTGGGGGCCGGGGGTAGGACAATAGGGGGCCCCCCATTTTAATTTAGGGCCCCAACCCACCGCTCATGGGTGGGGGCCTGAGGGGAGGACATTAGGTTCCCCCTTAATGTAATTTAGGGTCCCCATCTGTCACTCATGGGTGGGGGGGGGGAGGACAATAGCTGGGGGGGGGTCTTTTTTGTAATTTAATTTTTAAAAAAAACAAACAATTTAGTAGACATTTCAATCTCCCTTATGCTAATATGGGGGTCATATTGACCCCCATAGAGTGAGGGAGGGCATACGGGACTTGGGAAGTGGCGGGGAGCACAGCTCTCTGTCGCTTCTATCTTTATATGTTACAAGGAGGGAGCTGCGCCGCCAGCTTCCTCCTTGTAACAAACTAAATGAACACCGTTATTCAGTGTTTGTTCATCTGACATTTCTATTCATTCGTCTAGTGTGGGCAGATGACTTGTCCCACAGGGCACTTATCTACCCACACAAAGATGGCGATGCCCAGGACCTAGGTCCGGGCACAAAATAAATATTTTTAAAAAGGTAATATGGGTGGTATAGGGGGGAAATTAGATGTAGTGGAGTCGGGAGGGTGGTTAAAAATAAAACAAAAAAACTGATGCGGCCATGACAGTTCCGCTTTAATATTACAGCAGTGGGATTTAATAGAACAGTAAAATGCATGCACTTTGGTTTGCTTTTGAAGTACTTATTTAGCATACCCGACTACTTTTTTTCTGTGTTAGGCTGTCTAATTACCTCTATGTGCTAATAAGAATGCGTTCTAGATCTGTGAGTAGCCCATGGGTAACAGGTTGAGAAAATATTAAGTTAAACAAACATTTTATTCTTCAAATGCTACTGTGTTTAACTAGTGGATAATATAATACTTTCTGTAAAATGCATTTATGACCAGACAGGTAGTAAACTGTGCAAGATTGTCATAAATGTTATAGACATTACATCTTATTTTAATCATATATTAATCAATATCTGTAGCTGGAGATCATGGGAAAATCTGAAATATGTTCTACATTGTTACCATCAGGAGATCTTCCCTGCAACTGGATCTTGTTATCACAAAAGCGATGTATCTTACTTCACTGCAACAACCCAAGATTGTGTCGAAAAGATATAGCCAAGCAGATGGTACATAGACTTATAGGTAAGGAGCATGTGTTACTCAGCCCCCATTTGTATCTGTCAACCTGTTCATCTTCCAGGTCTTCTGTACCTGTTTCTCAACCCAGTGTTCTTTGTTTCTCTGTCACATTGACCCCCCCACAGGCACATTCTGTTCCAGACCATCATGTTTGCTCTCATTCCACAGCTGTATTCTTCCTTTACCATCCATATGTTATCTGTCAATCATCCTCAACCTCCTGTACATCACTACACAGTATGCAAGGGAGCCTTCCAAGCTACCCCGGGAGGGCAGCACCCTTCGCTAAAGGGACAAAATCCCTGGCACCTGAAATTTATCGAGCCCTGCAGTATGTAATGTTTAACAACCTGTGCTTGTTAAATATTATGTACTGAATATGTAAAAAGTTTGAAATGTATTCAGTGACCTATTGTATTCCTGTACCACATGCATTTGTTTTTATGTCATAATAAAATTATAGTAATATTTTCTGTTGTCTCATGACAGATAATCATGCTCTTACAAGAAAAAGGAGGAGTGACAAAATTCAATTGTCAAAACAATTACCAAAAAAGACTAGGAGGACAGTTGCAACAACTAATAAACCAAACTTAAAAAAACGAACAGTTCCCATAACCATTACCCCTCATGCAACAATTAAACCATCAAATGCAATTAAAATATCCTCAATAAATCTACCTACAACACCAGTTGCAGAGCCAAAAATTTCAACATCAGCAATAACTACTACAACAACCCTAGAAATCACCACAGAGCCAACCGTTAACACTACAAAAATATCCAAAACTACACCAACCATTACAACAATGCCACATATTGTCCTTTCAAATACTACAGCTTCAAAGAGCACCTTCATTTTAAAGATAATTTCTACCCAGGTGCCAGCAGCTACACTACCAGCCTCCGTGTCAAGTGTACCAAAGAGCACCACCTCAGACAAGACCCTAAAGTCAATGACCACAACCTTAGAATCGCCAAAAAACACTGCTACCTGGAAGAGCAGCACCTCAGAAATCAAAACTACACCGACCACCTCGTTGGAGCAAGCAACAAAACAAAGTAGCACCTCAGAGCCAACAATTATGTTGAGGACCACCACTTTAAAGCCTACAACAACATTGAATGCCACCACCTCATTGCCCACAACAACATTGAAAACTACGATCTCAAAGCCAACGACAATGCCAAACACCACTTCATTGCCAACAACACCGTTGACAACCACAACCTCTGAACTAACAACAGTAATGACAACCACAACCTCTGAACTAACAACAATGCTAATGACCACAACATCAAAACCAACCTTTGTGTTGATGACCACCACTAAGCCAAAAACTATCCCATTGACCACAAAAGAAATGTTGACCACTACTTTGGAGCCAACTACAACCACTTTGGTGTCAAGGATCCCTTTACCTAAGGAGCCAAGTACTATTGAGTCAAAGCCTACTAAAACTACAAGTAATGTCCCTAGCACATCAACCATACATGAAGTTTCCAAACTGGCTACCACAAGTATGCCTTCAACCAAACCTAATGTACCCGCAGATCGTAATCAGGATCAAAATAGAGATAAGTTGGGATTCCCTATAATTACAGACGATTTAACGAAACATATAGAGAACACCAGCTTTTTGTTAGCTTTACTTTTGTTAGGAAACGTCTTCTTCTTGGCTATACTAGTGGTATTTGCCCTTCAGGCATTGGAAAGTTATAAGAAGAAGGACTATACACAGGTAGATTATTTAATAAATGGAATGTATGCTGATTCTGAAATATGAAGGTAGTTATTTTCACTTAATATTGTGCGCAGTGGCAATTTCTTTTTTTTTTTATATATATACATTTTATATGCCTTGAACACCTTCAGTGCATTTGTAAGCAGCTCAAAGTCCTATGCACACTTTATTGGTTACGGTACTAGGAGTGCCCTGGCTCCCCCTGTCCCTCCACCCCATTGGAAATAATTAAACCGTTTAGTAACAATCTGGCTTCTTACCTGAGCAACTACAGATCAGTGTAAGTCAGAGATAGAAGCTAAGCCTAGCAGGACAGGGCTTAGCTCAGTACATCTCATTGAAGAGCCTAACAGAAGCTTCTGGTCTCAGACTTCCTGCTAATAGGAGCAGCATCCGTCAGATCCCAGGTCAGAAGTCAAACCATTGTAAAATGGTTTAACTGCTTAAAATGGGGGCTCCAGGGCACTCCTATCAATGTAAGCACTACAGCATGCTGTAGTGGTTATGTTGCTTGGAGCATTTGTTTAACTGTAAATTCACAAGAGACCCCAGCAGAATATCCCTGTTGAAGGGAGATTATGTTCCCCCTTGCCACAGAAAAGTGGTAGTCACTTTAATGTTCCTAGATGTATTTCTGCAACACTATAACTACATTTAATATCGGCTGGGATGTGCAATTCCCTCTGCTTTTTGGCAACTCCAGTGCTTTATTTCAATTTTTTTTTGTATCATGCTGAACCAAATGTGCTGTGACATTGAAATGAATATTTAAGAAGCCTTAAATGTAAGATAGCTATGAAAAAAACAATTAAGGGACTTTTCGTTTCATACTGCATGTCTTAAAATCATAGCTAAATAGACTTTCATGACAAGAGTATGGCATTCCATATAAATAAAATGAAAATACATTGAAGAAATTAAATTATTTCATATTTACAACGGAGCTTCCAACCTGTTGGACACAACAAAGAGAATGTCTTTAAATCCAAATTGGTGATTTATTTAAAAAAAAAAAAAAGTTTTTTTTTTAAATATTTTTTGGTGATTGTACAGACTAAGTTAAATGTCAACTATTTTCTGCTATAGTCATATGAATCCCTTGTTTAAGTAATATATAGAAACAAAACTTATTTTGTACAGACTTCCTGTGTATCAATGTTCATTTTGTATTCTTTGACAAATGGATTCAAAAACACTTTGCTAGAGTTCATTGAAGAATAGAGATTCTAACCTCAAAAGACTTTAAGAACATGGTTTCCTGGAAAACTGTATCAAGTTCAAAAAGACTCTAAAATTTAACATAACAAATTTTACAAATGGCAATAGAAGTTTTTTATTATGTGAGATGACATTTAATGATTCATTCCAAAAAGTTCTTGTTTTTTCACCAACTGTTTTCAAAGACGTGGCTTGAGAACTATGGGTTTGATCTTTATTTATTCAACTAATGGATTGGACTTTTTTTTTTTTGGCAGTGACATCACTCACTGTAGAGTCCAATAAAGTCTAAGTGACTCACTTCATTAAAGGGACACTATGGGAACTCTGAACACTCCATCTCGCTGAAGTGGTCTGGGTGCAGTGTTCCTGTCCCCTTAAAGGACCACTCTAGGCACCCAGACCACTTCAGCTTAATGAAGTGGTCTAGGTGCCAGGTTCCTCTAGGGTTAACCCATTTTTTTTTTTTTTTATAAACATAGCAGTTTCAGAGAAACTGCTATGTTTACAAATGGGTTAATCCTTCCTCCAATTCCTCTAGTGGCTGTCTCATTGACAGCCGCTAGAGGCGCTTGCGTGATTCTCACTGTGAAAATTACAGTGAGAACACGCAAGCGTCCATAGAAAAGCATTATGAATGCTTTCCTATGAGACTGGCTGAATGTGCGTGCAGCTCTTGCCGCGCGTGCGCATTCAGCCGAATGGGAGGAACGGAGGAGGATCGGAGGAGAAGAGCTCCCCGCCCAGCGCTGGAGAAAGGTAAGTTTTAACCCCCTTCTTCTCCCCAGAGCCGGGCGGGAGGGAGTCCCTGAGGGTCTGGGCACCCACAGTGCACTATAGTGCCAGGAAAACGAGTATGTTTTACTGGCACTATAGTGGGCCTTTAATACTGCAATCTAAAACAACAACCAAAAAAACAGCCAGGTTGCTATAGGGTACAAACTAATATGTGGTGTTTCATGAATGTGGGAATTGAGGCTGGGCGGGGAGCTCTTCTTCTCCTCCCCGTCGGCTGAATGCGCACGCGCGACAAGAGCTGCGCGCACATTCAGCCGGTCACATAGGAAAGCATTATCAATGCTTTCCTATGGACGCTTGCGTGCTCTCACTGTGATTTTCACAGTGAGAATCACGCAAGTGCCTCTAGCGGCTGTCAATGAGACAGCCGCTAGAGGAAATAGGGGAAGGCTTAACCCATTCATAAACATAGCAGTTTCTCTGAAACTGCTATGTTTATGAAAAAATGGGTTAACCCTAGCTGGACCTGGCACCCAGACCACCTCATTAAGCTGAAGTGGTCTGGGTGCCTAGAGTGGTCCTTTAATTTTATAGTGCAAGTGTGATTTAAATTTTATTTTTGAAAGGTTTTTTTTTTTTTTAAATATGTACTCAAATTGTCTGAGGTGCTGTTGTGTATGAAGAGTGTTGTGAGTGTGTGTAGAGGGGTGCTGTGTGTGTGTGTGGGTGGGGGGTGCTGTGTGTGGGTTTGTGTGTGGACATGTGAGGGGGCAGTGTGTGTGTGAAGGGTGCTGTGTGTGAGGTTGTCAGCGTGTGTGTTAGAGGTGATGTGTATGTGGGAAGGGTGCTGTGAGTGGGAAGGATGCAGTGTGTGTGTGTGTGTGTGTGTGTGTGTGTGTGTGTGTGAGAGAGATGTGCAGTGTGGGGCAGGAAGACTGTGTGTGGTGCATAGGGTCTATGCTGTATGTAGGTGAGTGTGATGTGAAAATCTATCTTAATGTCTCCCCCTCCCTCCTTACCTTTTACCAGGGAGGAGGGACATTATGCTGCAAGCTCTGGTGGTCCTGTTGTGGCATGTTCACTTGAGCCTGCACCTCCTCCGGCTGTAGTCTTACTTTCCTGTACTCCTGCAAGCACAGTACTGTATTGGTGCATTTCCATGGTAACACATGGCAATGTTCCAACCAGCCTGCTCATGGGAGGAACACAGAGCATCCCAGGCCCTTCTATCCCTCTGCTGAAACGAAGTGCCAGCTGGCCGGTGAGGGAGATCTCACCAGCCTGAGAGGGCTTACAGCAAGGCTGGCTCTCCATGGCCAGCAGAGGAGATGAAACGATATCCCCTGCCAGCCTTCTGTGTGTTTTCTGCAGAACCCACCACCGCCTACCTGAAATCCCAAACTGCCCACTGGTGGGCTGTATGGACCAGGTTTACTACCCCTAATTTAACCAAAGTGAGCTAAAGATTGCTGCCCCCACGGAATAAGGCTAAGCCAGGAGATACACTAAAAGGAGGTAGAACTAGGGTTACCAGATTCACCATGTTTTCAGGCACGTATAATTTCGCCATATTTAGGAAAATGCGTGCAGTATATGTAATGCATATTCTGCAAAATTATTAATTGCCTAGCTACCTAATCTTATATACTAATTCTGAATTCTACATGGCAACCCTTTTCATGTGTTGCCCAACAATATTTATATGTGATATATGTCCCTGAAAATATTGTGGATCTAGTAACCCTAGGTATAACCGTTCAGGTATTTGTTGCATAATAATGCACAAGGCATATTATTACTTTTAAACTTTTATTGACCGTGATTATAAATGTATGTGTATGTATGATAGTAGACCATTAAGCAAGATTTCACGTACTGGAGGACATCAGTATTTCTTTGGGTGCTCCGTCCATTGGTTAAAGAGCTTTGATAGCATTGAAGAAAACTTCTCCACTAATTACATATGTATAATAATTTTTTTCTGCTATATTTCATTTCAAATATAATAAAGAAAAAAGGCAGGCATAAGTATGTTAAGTGGTGTGCCGATATTCATTGGAACTCTAGGTTTCTTCTCCATGAACGCTCTCCTCCTCACATCTTATTACACATCCAGCATTTTGTAGACTCCTGCTGGAACGGACATCAACCTGTGACAGACTAGAACTGTGTGCTTGTTAGAAAGGCCATTAAGTATCAGCATTCTGTTCTGTCGGACAAATTTTGTATAATCACAATGAACATTATAGCTTCGCATTGTAACCAATCCATTTTAATGTTCAATGAACAAAAGTTGCTTCAGTCTTTGAACTTGTAAGTCAATGAGAGATGATCATTGCTCTGTTATCCTTCTTTCTTAAAATAAAAATATTTGATTTATAAAAAAAAAAAAAACATACAAAGAAGAACATTGTGCATTTAAAGCCATATGTTTTAATTTTATATGCCATTTAATAAAAAACAGATTTCTTATTTGCGTTTGTAAATTATTGAAAACAGATCAAGGGACATCTTTGGTTTTTTTCTTATTCATAAATTAATTAGAAAAATATGTACTCAGAACACTACATGTGTTTTTTTTCTAATTTTCAAAGGTAGAAGTAAACATTGATAGTAACACTGTACCTTACCAATTTGTGTCTGCAATAATGTCATTTTTTGTCTTGTTTACGATGAATGCAAAGAAAATCTACATTTTTGCACTAATTTCTCAGTCTCTTTTTCCCCAAACCCTTCCCTACTTTTTCTTTTCAAATATTTGTCTTCCTTGTCTCTCTCATGCTATATTTTCATTCTTAGCGTATCCTTCCCTTACTCTGTCACAGCGCAATTCTGTCCACTTCTCCACCATCCTTATGTCCCTCGTTGTTTTATTCATAGGTTTTTATTCATTCCCTCTCCCTCTCTCCTGCAGCTGCTGGCACTGCCCCTGATCTGTGTGCTTGGCTGACATCATCAGAAGTATTCTCTGAGCCAAGCACAATGCTTTCACATAGAATTGGCAGGGACTATAAAGGAGGCAGATCAAGGGCAAAGCCAGAACTAGTCAAATACAGCCTTGGCCTATCGGCATCTCCTGATAGAGATTCCTCATAGAATCTACTGCAAAAAGCCTGACAGGGATGCATTGTTATTAAGCAATCCATATGCACACAATGAACACCTTTACAGGAACACTCCATTGCCTGATTTATTTTTATCACTTTTTAGTAGATATATAACATACATGCATTCATTTATGCTTTCTCTCTTTTTCCCTCTCCAACCCCCGGGAGATAGATAGAAAATATATATTTAAAAAAAAAAAAAAAAGCTTGCAAAAGCTGCAGCCCTTTTGTTTACAGCCTTTGCAAGCCCTCCCCTATTCTTGGGAATAATCTAATCAAAGGTTTCTCAAAGAAAAACACAACTTTCCAATGCTTCTCAATAGAAACACTTTTCAATGCTTCTCGAAGAGCTGTACTACCGTTCATTAAGAAGGGGGGAGACAAGTGCACGCTAGCATAGCGTGGTTGTCACTTCTATTAGCTCCGTGGAGCCAATAGAAACAAAGAGTGCTTCTTCCTCCCCCCCCACCCCCATTATAAAAGTGCTGATTCCTTTTGTAATCCGCTCTTTTATAAACTGTGACTAATGTGATAGGCTCCACATACATAAAGCACTTTAGCAAGCTGCAGTGCTTTATGTATGTGCAATGTTCCTTTAATGTATTTTGTATTTTGTATTTCATATCAGCATGATTAACCTATTAAACTGGAAATCATTTCAAAATGATCAATGTGCTTCTAATGGAATATAACAAAATCAGTTCTGATATAAACATTAAGCCAATATGAAGAAGTTATGCTAAATGTGAAGCCTTCATCTGGTTTTAAAAATCAAGCATAATAAGAGCTAAGAACCAGCAAAAAATAGCCTTTATGTTTAAAATAAATAAATCATTAAGTCTCTCTTGCTAAAGAGTGTTTGGAATTGACTTGATTTGAAGGACCACTAAAGACAGGACCACTTAGACAGCTTCATCTCAGTGAAGTGATCTGGGTACAGTGGGCCTGTCATATTACCTTACAATATAAAACATGCTTACATTGCTGGTTTAAATCCACCTCTAGTGGCGGTCTGCCCGACAACCACTAGAGGTGCTTCTACTGTACAGGCCGTAAAATTTGTTCACGTCACAAGAAAGCTCAAAGGAAAGCATGGATGAATTGATTGGATCAACCACATCAGCAGCATTCCCCCACATACACAAACTCATAAGCAGAATTCTCAGAAACAAGCACCACCACAAGTAGTCTACCATCACAAACTCAACTTGACGTGCAGCCACCCCAACAATCTGACACCACAAGCAGTCTCCACACACATGCGCACAAACACCCTCCCCCAGCCCTATCCCACTTATCTAACCACGCACCTAGTCATATTCACCATTGTCATACCCCAAACTAGTCCCAATAATGCATCTGTTTAAATACCCCAAACTTGTGTGTGTTTGGTAAATCCGACCAGATATGTACCTTTTCCACTCCATTTTCTGAATTGGTTGCTGCTGATATTCTGAGAGTGGCACCCATTCCGAGGCTTCCGGTTTGAAACCACAAATTCGAATTGAAATAGAAGGACAAAGTTGACGATACCTACTCACACCATAACAACTTGATTCTGAATTAAATTGTTATGATGCCAAGTGCTCTTTTAACACAGAAAGAAGAACACGCTAATTAGTTCTTATTTATTACAAGGTGTGATTGTAATCTGGAAAATTAGCCACAGGCAGTTGATAATGTGACTTCACAGTGTCGATTTATAGAACAGATTTGCCTGAATATCCTACAATTGTTCCCAAACAAGGTGGCCATGTGCCATGAGAAAGGAAGCATATTTTGGCACTTACAGGTCCCCCCCTGCAGGAAGCAAATATGAGCATGACTACACCTCTTTAATATTAGGAATGCTTCATGAAATTATATAAATAAATGGCCACCCATTTTAATCAAAGGTGAACATGTTTGGTTAAGCTCGATCCAAAATAACATATCCTGAGGTTTTTAGTGTCTTTGTATGTGCTTTGTTGTAGCATTTTTCCTTGATTGGTTTTTATATCAACTTTTATTTCTCATTAGATCATGTTTCTGCCTTACTTTACATTATAAACCTCTTTCTATTTAGAACACAGAGCAGTTCTTATGCTTGCCCATTTGTTTTTGCATCCTTCACATACAAAACATTTCACAACCATCTCCATAATTTCTTATAGAAAAGAGATAGAGATATATCTATATCTCAATCATATGCATAGGAAAACAAAAATAAAACAAACTTGGGGGATAGCAATTTAGTAAAATTGAACACACCTGTACACCAAGATAAAATACATCAAAGCACACATTTGTCAGCCAGAAATACATGTGTGTGTGTATATATATATATATATATATACACACACACACACACACACACTCTCTCTCTCTCTCTTTTTATGCATGACAATACCTAACTTACTTTAGCCACTGCTGCTTGACATTGCACATTGTTGCCTAGTATGTTATCTATAACAATTAGGGATGTGCATGGGCAAAAAAACCTGGTTCAGTACTTACGAAATTCGGTGGTTCGGTACTTCTGAAATTCGGGACTTCGGGTAAGTGTAGGGTTAGGAGTATGGTTAGGGTTAAGAGTAGGGTTGGGTTAGGAGTAGGTTTAGCATTAAGAGTAGGGGTAGGTTAAGGGTAGCGGTACCCTAACCCTACTTCTACCCTAACCCTACTCCTAGCCCAACCCTACTCCCAATCCTACCCCTACCCGGTTTGCGAATTTTCAGAAGTTCAAAGCACTTCGGCACTTCCGAAATCCGGCAATTCGATTTGGTTCAGCACTTCCGACATTCGGAAGCATCCAAATGTCGATAATTCATCCGAATTTCCACTCGGACCGAACTGCACATGTCTAATTTTCAATTAGATCAATTTTTTTTTGTTTGAACACAAACTTATTGAGTTGAACTGTATTGAACACCATGGCAAAATCCAAATAGATCACATTCACTGAAACTCCCTAAACTATATTTCGCGTTCTGACACTGGGCGTCAGTCTGATGACATGTTTGATGCCATGAGCTGCTCTCTTGTGGTTTCCTAATATTCTCAATAACATTTTACGTATTTGTCTAAATTGGTATACTGACCAAGCTTGTTTCTGTTTTTCGAGTTTTGGCACTCTGGATTCAGTTTGGCCTATTGATTCTCTGATATCTGTTTTCCTTTGACCTTGGCTTGTTTCTGACTATCCCATCTGCTTGCAGATTTGCTATTTGGCGCACGTGTGTGTAATACACACACACCCCCCATTCATGTATATAAATCTAAAAATCAATAAGTGTCCACAGTGCTCATTATTTAGCGAATATGTGCCCAAGCAGTAGTGTTAAATGAGTGTATCTTAACTCAATAGGCAGTGGTATAGTGACACCCACAAGCTCTAACACACAATGTTATACTTGCACAGTATCTGTAATGAAAGAATCTAGGAGATAAACACAAAAATAAAATCTAGTGCAATATTGTCTTTAATAACATAATCAATTGCAGAAAGGCTTATGAAAAAGCACTCATAAACACAGAGTGGTTAAAGTACCACTCTTAACCATCGGACTCCGGGAGGATCAGCCCCTGGTGTGCGTAGGATCCTATCAATACACTTCCAGCAGTCAGGTAAAGTAGATAAGTATTTATTTAAAACAAACCAACTAGAGGGCGTGGCCTTGCTGTGAACTGGAGTGGTCGCATGTGTTAGCAGCTCCGCTCCAAAAATGGCTTCAAAGAGCAATTCAGCCCAAATACAACACCAAAACTCAATAATGTCGCAGCCCAAAGGGAAGAGAGCCATGGAGAAGTCAGAAAAAAAACAACTTCTTTGTCTCCAGAACCGGACAAGCAAAAATCCAGCAACCGCAAAAGCAGGCCCAAGATGGCGCCGACGAAAATGCGGACTACAGGGAACAGCCGGCGGAAACAGAACCAGTGCTAACGCACAACACCCTGAAAACACTGCTGGACGAAATGTCCACTAAAATATTGCATAAGCTAGATTCCGCAATGAAAGACCTTAGGAAAGACTTACAGGAGCCGGGGATGAGAACCTCACGAGTGGAGGACAAGATGGCGGAATATGACACAGCTCATAACACTCTGGCGGGCACAGTGGACTCCATCTTAGCCAGATTGGACACGCAGGACGTGAAACTTGCGGACATGGAAGACAGGCACCAGCAGACTGTCCCCGGACTGGAGAAAATCAAATTAAAAATGAATGAACTGTCACGACAACAACCACAACTAGGGGTGAACCCCTTATACAGAGACTAAGCAAGATTGAAACCAGGGACGGGTAATGTAATACTACTAACCAGGGCATGTATAGAAAAGGGGCATTTTTCAGGCAAACAACCAGGGGAAACTGAGGAGGGAGGCCTAAGGAAGAGAGAGAGGTTGGATCCCCACACAGACAAAAAAAAAAAAAAAGCTGGTTACCTAGGGGGTCGGGGAGAAAGCTATACAGCTACTATACTGCCCGCACACAGACAACACACTCAAACCCTACTGGAAAGATGATCATTAGAAACACCCTAACGCTAGACAAACCACAACTACCTTAAGGAAAAGAGGCGATGACCACAAACAGACCCACCAAGTTAAATGGCTAGGAGAAGCTATAGGAGCGGGGAGACACCAGCTCGAGAAGTCTAGCTTCAACCCCAAGGCACGACAACGCAGTGCCCAGCCATACCTCAGGCAGTATTACTGAATGTAAATACTTTTGTTGTTATGCACATATAACGTACGGGGATTGAACACCCCTGCAAAAAGGCATATGCTAAACAGGTCGCTCAAGTCCCTTAACGCTGACATCGTATGTCTCCCAGAGACACACTTCAGACATAATGACCACCCCAATATCCAACCAATACAATTCCCGCACCAATATCATGACACGGCACCAACAAAATCCAGAGGCGCCTTTATCCTCTTAAGCAAACACATAAAATTTGAGCCACAACACCATGAAGCTGATACCAATGGCAGGTACGTCCAATTACAGGGCAAAATAAACGATATGTTGTACACAATAGTAAACATCTATACGCCCAATACGAACCAACGCAACTTACTCCAGAGCATCCTCAAAAAAACAAAATATACAACAGGGTATCACAATAATCTGCGGGGATTTCAATCACATTTTGGACCACAAATTAGATACCACACTACCACAACACAGACGCAGACAGCGCCCACTGAAAATACAATGCAAAGCCCTGCAGAAACTCATGAATGAGTATCATTTTTATGATGCATGGAGAATCACACACCCGGGGGACAAAACATTTACCCATTTCTCAAATGTCCATAACTCTTACTCCCGAATAGATGGGTTTCTCATTTCGGGACCACACTTAAACCAAGTACACGCTTGTGAAATAAAAGAAATCACATGGTCCGACCATGCACCAGTGCTCCTTGACATGAAAAACACGATTTTAAACACCGCAGCCCCTGGAAGCTAAATGACACTTTACTCCAAAATAAAGAACGCACGGAAGAATTTACAGCCGATCTCAAATTATACTTCACACTGAACGACAACAGAGAGGTGTCACCGGTTACTATATGGCAGGCACACGGTAATCAGGGGACTGCTAATTAGAAAGGCAGCATACATCAAGAAACAGGCACAGACTAAACTAAAATCATGGCAACAAGAACTATATGACTTAAACACAAGTAACCAAATACAACCGACAGCAGAAAAAAATAAAAAATAAATAAACACTGCATCATGATCATTTCTAGGCTGATACACCAACAAGCACTGGAACAAACACAAACTCACATGACAAAACTTAAAATATCCCACTACATGCAGGGAAACAAAATGAGTAAACTCCTAGCTAATCAACTGAAACAGACCAACCAAAAAATAGCCTATTTACTAGACAACTGTCATGGTTGGCGGTCCGGTGCCCGGGACCCAGACACTGTCCGGGCGGCGGTGCGTGGACAGGGACCCATTATGCCTGATGCTCAGAGTAGGAGTCACAGTGTGGAGGTTGATTAGCAGGGTCTGGTGTAGGGTAACCGCACGCCCCCTGGTGTTGAGCACCAGCGTTTGTGCAGCCACATACCAGAACCCTGATTCAGCTTATGCGGATCCCAGAAATTAGGAGCAGGTAATTAAGCAGACCTCCCAGGAGCTGAATAGGGAGGCTCTGCAGCAGGGATGTATCCAGTACTGAAGCAAGGCAAAACTAGGAGAGCAAGGCACCATACACGAAAACAAGACCAAACTAGGAGAACAAGGAAAGACTAGAGATAGCACCATGCATGAGAACAAGACAAAACTAGGAGAACCCAGAACCAGAGCAGGACAGAAAGCATAACCTAGAACAGGGGTAGGCAACCTTTTAGCAGCACTGTGCCGATATAGGATTGTGATGTCCTGTAGCGTGCGGTCCTATTTTTTTAAAATTGAGGTGTGTATGCTGCCGTATTCTGCTTGTGTTATTTTTACTGTAATTGCTTTGTATCGTTGTATATGTGCGTATATGCAGGCCGTCTTTAATATTGACTGGACCCTGGGCAAAGCATTTGCTTGGGGCCCCCTGGACCCTGTCCCCCCTCCCCAGGCGTGCAATCACGTCCTCCACCCAAACGCTGACACACACAGACATGCTGACACAGACATACTGACACATATATGCTGACACACACACACACAAGCATACTAACACACACCAAATTTACACTTTAAAACCCACCCTCCAGTTTCCTACCTTTCCTGCTGGTGGCTGAAGGTGTTGGGAGGTGGGTTCTGGCTCCCTCGGCCAGCCCCCATCCACTCTGCCTACTCTTCTTTCCCGCGCGCTCCTCTCTTTGTGGGAGGAAGTGATGCACGCCGTCCCTTCCTCCCAGCCTGCTGCCGAAAAGCAAGGGGCCCGCTCGCGCTGTTAAAGCGCCTCAACGCGCGACCAGACCCCTGCTGACAGAAGCCCATCGGGTGGCCCTTTGTGCATGGGCCAGCCAGTGGGCGGATTGCCGGCCGGGAGGTGAGAAATAGTTGGTCAGCGGGGCTCACAGTGCAGCTGCCCCATTTGCCCTGCGTTAAAGATGGCCCTGCGTATATGAGCTATTATATTGTATATGTTCAGGAGTAGTTTATGGTATTGTGTATGATACATATGAATGTAAGCTGTTTATGGGGGCTGCTTGTTGAATTGTGTGTGTGGATGGATATGTCACATTGTGTGTGGGGGCTTATTGGGGTATTGCATGAGAGAGGCTGCATGTGGGGTTGTGTGCATGTATGTGGATTGTGTGTATGGGCTGTCCGTACTATTTGTATGAGGGGAGGGTTATTCTGCATTTCTGTGTATATCTAGCAGTGTGGGTGACTTCCCTGGGTTCCAGTGGGGACCAGGCCGGCCAGGTACATGTCAAGGACAGGAGCTGCAACATCAACTGCATGCTGCTCTACTACTGTGTGGATTCCCATTCACAAGTGCTGGGAGGAAGTGATCTGAGATCACTTCCTCTACGTGCTGCAATGCATAAATTGAGGATTGTCCTTGACCACCTTTTCGGATTAGCAGATATCTGATGTTTTACTGGGACTCCTGATAGGCCAGAGCCTGTTTGGCTCTAGCAGCCTTGAGTGATGTGCAAAGGCACCTCAAGTGCCGTGCATGGCACTAGTGCCGTAGGTTGCCTACCCCTGACCTAGAACATGTACACAAGACAGGAGGAAAACAAGAACATAACATGGGCATGACTGAACAGGACTGTACATGGACTGGGATTACAAGACAAGAGATACAAGGTAAAACAAGTGGAAACATAGCTAAGCACTAATTATGAAAAGTATGGGGATTTAGTCACATTATATGATATTATTATTATTATTATCATTTATATAGCGCCAACAGATTCCGAGTACTGGATACCAGAAGCCATTGCCAGAATGATCCTCAACGAGGAACAGGATGTGACAACAACAAAGGCCAAAAACGCTCCACACCAAGAGAAATAAGCGAAGAATTCGCTAAATACTACCACACCCTGTACAACCTAAAAGGGGACCAAAGCACAATACAACCCACGGACGCAAGCATAAAGGCTTATTTAGACAAACTTAAGCTACCACAACAACAGACGGACTTAACCAAACCAATAGAAATACAGGAGATTCTTAAAGTCATCCACACACTGCCAACAAGCAAATCACCAGGCCCAGATGGCCTAACAAACCTATATTACAAGAAATTTAGCCACACACTGGCACCCTACCTAACAACAGCGTTCAATCATGCTACAACCACGAAATCTCTACCAAAAGAGATGTTAGCACACATCGTTACACTGCCAAAACCCAACAAATCCCCCAAGATGCCGCAAAATTTTAGACCCATTTCACTCCTAAACACAGAAGCGAAAATATTCGCCAAACTATATGCCACAAGACTGGGACAAATCATACCACATGTAATACACACCGACCAGGTGGGCTTTGTGAGGGGGCAGACAACACAAGGAAAGCCATAAACCTGCTATATAAACTACAGACACAAAAAAATGGGAGGCTTATTTCTGTCCTTAGACTCTTAAAAAGCCTTTGATCAATTACATTGGGGCTTTCTAAAGGCGGTCCTAGGAAAATTTGGAATACCCGAAAAATTTGGAGCAGTGGTGGAAGCATTATACAGCTCACCCGAGGCACAAGTATTAAACTCGGGGTTTCTATCAGAGCCGTTTCGGCTCGAGGCAGGGCTGCCCCCTGTCGCCACTACTGTACATCCTAGCCCTGGAACCACTAGCCACACGACTCAGAGATAACACAAACATACACGGGATACAGATGGGTAAGAGTATACAAGGCAGGATTTTTCGCAGACGACATCATGCTGACAATCACACAACAACATATTTCATTACCAAACCTTCTTGCCAAAATTAAGGAGTATGGGGAACAATCATATTATAAACTGAACGTTACCAAAACACAAGCCATGGGGACAGGGATGATGCACGCCACGATAGACAAATTGAAAGAAAACTTCCAATTCGACTGGAGGGAGGACTACATTACTTTCTGAGGATTAAAATTACAAAAACACCCTAACAAATTACTTGAGCTAAACTATGGCAAGCTCCTGAAGGAGGCTGAAGAAACAATGAAATGCTGGGAACACAAATACTTGTCATGGGTGGGTAGACTGACGGCCCTAAAAATGGTAGTACTACCTAAATTCCAATACCTAATAAGAACACTGCAGATTTTCCTCCCAAACACATACCTGAACAGGTTGCAACGCCTATTCACATCATTCGTATGGGCACACAAAAAAATAAGGGTGGCCTCCGCAATTCTGAGCAAACCCATAAAACAAGGGGGCCTGGGACTACCAGACATACGCCTCTACTACAGGGCCGCCCTTATGTCCACAATTCTCTCTCTGCACGCAGGAGGAAACAAGCCTCAATGGGCAGAGATGGAGGCTGCAGGGATATACCCTGGGGGTATAAAATACTTGTTATGGGTGCCTCACAAACTGAGGCCCAAACACAAAGAATTGCTCACAACCACCTCTCTACTTCTAGACATATGGGATTCAACGACACAACTCTTAGGTCAGAGCAAGAGCTGGGCAATGTCAACCCCATTACAAAGCCTACACGTTGTAAACCCCTCTTTAGACCACCGCCCATGGACTTCGCAATGATGCACACAAATCAAGCACTTATCATGAGGGCAAACTAGAACTATATCCCACATTGAAACAAAACTCAACTGCCTAACAACACCTTGCTTACATACCTCCAAATAAAATCACTCCTGGAGAATGAAACTAGCACAACCACACCTAAGCCCCTGGAACAAATATAGGTTGCTTGTTCTGATAGGTGATCACTGTTTATTTCCTGGTTCCGACTCATGACGCGTTTCGCCCCTCCTGGGGCTTTCTGAAACGTTAGTGTTTCCTCCTACTATAGTCCGTATTATAAAACCCTTGCTCATCAACCAGTTAAGCTTCAATCATTTATACTACATTAGAAATGCAATCCAGCAATCACATAAAATTTAAAGAAAGGGGAAGAAAAATGGTTAAACACATAATCCCATAGTTCTTGTATTCATTGCTTAATCTAAGTATTGTGTCAGTGAAGTATGAATGATTGAAGCTTGTGTGTTAGTGCTTGTGGGTGTCACTATACCACTGCCTTTTGAGTTAAGATACACTCATTTAACAATACTAGTTGGGCATATATTCGCTAAATAATGAGCATTACTGGCACTTTTATTGATTTTTAGAATATATATATATATATATATATATAATTTTTTATACATTGCCTAGTAGTGATTTTATATTTTGCTAGCCTACAGATTTAATGTTGAGCCCATATACTCTAAAGCTTGATAATACTGTTCTATCCTTTTGCCTCTGATCTAGGTTAGGTTTATAGTTCGATACTGTAACAGTCAGCAGGGGACTTATGGAACAGTTTACCAGGAGTTGGAGCCCAGTTGCAGGAGATGGCACAGGAAGCAAGCAAAATCCAAAACACTGCCCAAAGGCAGGGTCAGACAAGAAGCAGAAGTCAGGGCTGGCAGTGGAGTAACAAAGTCGGTAAATCAGTCAGTAGCAAATCAAAGATCCGGCAGGAAACACCAAACAGGCAAAATGACCAGATACTAGGTTTCAGACAGGGCTTGCTTTTATAGCCTGCTAATTAGATGCATATACATACATAGTGGGTGGGGTATCTCGGTCCAGGGTAACAGATGGTAGTACAAATACAGATATAGATGGAATAGCTGTAAAAATACAATAATAGACAGACCTAGTGCAATATCGTACAGTATAAGAGTAACACAGTATAGAACCAATATTGTTGTACTCACAAGGAGAGAGCCAGGAAGTTATGGCTCAATCTAGGCGCCCGTGGGATAATCAAAAGGGATCCCACTCCCTTTATATGTGTGGGTGGTCCTCTGTTGGTTCCAAGAAGGAATGTCCACATCAATTGTTATTAGGGACTAAGTGACTTTTAATAATCAAACAAAAATAAAATATAAAATATGAATAAAATAGCAATAAAGTGCAATAGTAAATAAGTCCTCTGTGGGATGCAAGACGCGTTTCGCCTAAGTCCTAGGCTTCCTCAGTTGCTGTTGTTACCTTCTACTGGTGCTCTTTTATGTCCAGTGTGTTCGGCAAATTCATCCGTTTCATGTTGGCGCGATGTTTTCACTTCCGGTCGCATGTTCATGACGCACTTCCGGTTCGCGGCTTCTACATTTAATCACTATTGGAACGCATATGCGTTCCACTCGTATGCAAGTGCGTTCACTTCCGGTCGCATACTTGTGACGCACATCCAATACGCCACTTCTTCATTCAAATCGTTTATTGGAACGCATGTGCGTTCCACTTTTGTAAAAACTTTGTTATTCATTTTGTCTATTGGATATTGAATCATAAACTCAAATTTCCATAAAACAGAGAGAGATTAAAAATGTCATACATGGGCAAAAATAGTACAATATCTAAAAAGAGAATGTTAATCCATCAATATTAAGAAAGTATTAAAAATAAAAAGGAAATTAGATTAAAACATAATAGTTTTAAAAAAGATTTATATATAATATGTTAAAAGATAAGCACCACATATACACTTCATGTTAAAAGAATAAAATATAGCTATGTGTTAAGAAAGTGGCATATTTCAAAATCTAAATTAAGCCCATTTGGTATCAGAGTATTAAAATTAAAGATACATTTCATTTCTTCTTTCCCTAACTTTTTTTTATATAATTACCTCCCCTCCAGTCTTTTTGGACTGTTTTAATTGCACAGAATAATGCTAATTAGATGCAGCTGACCCAAATTTGAAAAGGGCTGCAGGTGAGTCAGCACTGCTTAATCCAGGAAAGGGGGTCAGGAAGCAGAAAAATGCAAACAGAAAGTAAAGCCCCATGGTGGATGTCATGGCAGAGAACCTGACTGGAATGCTGGAGCAGTGAATTCAAACCCAGCTAGCTCTCTTAAAGGAGCAGTCACACCTTGCCATCTGCAGGGCTCGGCCTGATCCGTGACAGATACAAGTTCTCCTTGAACAGGTATAATGTGAGTGTTTTTTTTTTTTTTTTAAGAATATTCTAGGTTTGCTCATTATGCATGGGGATCAGTTAATATATGTAGTATACTACTACAGGTTAGGTCAGAACTATATTTCTGACCTTGACTTGTTGGCTTTTGTAGCTGCTATGTGGGATCAGGCTGTCAGGATTACAGTATGATCCAGCATGTAGAAGAATTGTGTAACACAGAGGACTGATAGGTAACGTATACCGGACCTTAGAATGGCTGGACTGACGTACTAAAGAATAGTCAGGAATAGCCAAGGTCAAGGGATACAGAAAGAGACACAATGATAAGGAAAAGCCAGGAGTCAGGGATGCCAGAAAACAGGGAAGTCAAAAACAATGCCAAAGTCAAAATACCAGAATAACCAGAATCAATAACGCGTTCGCGGACAACCACAAGGGAAACCACGACAGGGCACTGAGCAGGATGAGAACTGGGCCTAAATACCCCTCCTCTGGATCTGATAGGCTGTAATCGGCCTTTGACCCCAACAGGCAGTTACTAGGTTTCCATTTGCATAATTGCTGCTCAGCACAAACCCTCCTGTGGGTTTGATTGCTGCTCGGCACAGCTTTTCCTGTCAGGACAGTAATGTTGTTCGGCGCAACTTTTCCTGTCTGAACAGTAAATTCCATTAATCAAATTTTTATAAGCGGATGGATACGTGACACAGGCCTAGTTAGATTAGCAAGGCTTGGTTGGTAGGACTATGTGTACAAGTGGGTTTTTCTGGTATGTTTTCAATGTTTTTAGGATGGCTGGACTACATTTTAATCCACCTTGTATTGCTGCAAAGGGTTCCCATCAGTTCACCTTTTTCTTCTTATACCTCAGTCGGTGAGTGCTAAACAGCCAGACATCCGAGCATCCTTTGAAAGGCCGCAGCAGCCCTTGCACTCCAAAATGGCGCCCACAAGGCCTCGAGACTCTAGCTACTCAGACGAGTCCCTTGAGGAAGACAGCTTTACACCAGCAAGAACCCTGAGCAAGGTTTATGGGAGCGAAGAGTCTGACTCCGACACCTCACCCTCTACCAAAGGGGATATAAAAAAACTACTGATAAACCTACGTGAGGTATGGAAGGCCGACCTGGCTGGTGTGCGCGCAGAGGTTGACGGCCTCTCCACACGGGTAACTGCGGTGGAAACTGGGGAATCACGCAGGGAGCAGGAGCTCAAGGGGACCCGGGCCCAAATAGAAACTATGTCCCAACAAATTCAGGGGCTCACCCGCAGGGTCACCTCACTAGAATCCCGACACCGCAAGAAAAACGTACGGCTCCGCGGGATACCCGAAAGAGTGAGCACGGAGACTATCTTGGACTTCGCCAATGAAGTAGCAAAGGCGCTGGGAGTACAAACCACAACAGGTGATGCGCCCCTCACGACCGCGTTCCGAATACGGAAGGCCCCGACTGCCCCTGCGGATGCCCCCAGGGACGTCATAGCTGTCACCCGGGACATTTCAATTAAGGCTGCAATCCTGGCCCGATCGAGGAACAACCCTGACATCAGGGTAGATGGCTGCTCAATACGGGTGTACGATGACTTGCCCTTCAATGTCCTACTGGAGAGGTGGAGGTTTATGCCTGTGACGAGGGAACTCAGACAACGGGATCCAATACAGATCGGGAGCACTGGGTACCCTCATAGTACAGCAGGGAGACACGATCCTGACCCTATCTGCGCAAGAAGACCCCACCGGTTTCCTGACGGCGCTTAACTTACCGCGGAAGGCAAATCCTGCGACAAATGCAGAAACAACATTGGCGACTGAAGAGACCAGCATGGCACTGAGACGGAATACAGAGGCGGGAACTAAGCATAGAGAGCCAAGAAGGCTGAACCCACCATAGACCGGCTTGAGAGACGGAGGGTAGGTGACATCAACACCCCAGGGACTTGCCAAGAACTGTAACACACTCCTGCCAGATGACGATGAAGAAAGCCCAAGCAGTTAATGCGGTACACCTTCAACAAAAACTTTACCCTCCTGGACTCAATTCTATTATACCGTGGACTCATCAGTATGAAGATTGCATTCAATCAATCAACATTTTCATTTTCTTTCCTCTATCCATCAATGATATATACTTACATTTTATTATAGACCGATATGGATTTAAAAGAAACGGTGAAGCAACTACTAGGGGAAAAATTCCATTGAGGGCTCATGGCTATGTCACCAAATGTCAAGCAGCTGAGTTATGTACGAATGTATCCAAAACACCAGGATGACATTTTGTCACCTAATACACACATCACAGTTTTGTATCTTTTATATTCATGATTTTAGGCTTGTTTGTTTGTTTGTTTTGTTGGTTGTTTTCTTTTACATGATTTTTTTTTTCACGGCTGGAGCGGTGACAGAAATAATCTGTTCTCTGCCGTTCCAGCTGCTGGTAAATACAAGACACATACAGCCATAGATAGAGACACATAAATTCACTGTGGCTCCCTGCCTTATTAGTGCAGAAGTAGGACATACAAGTCCCAGGTTGATTTTGATTAATAAGAATTACACTCCTGGGCTGTAGCCATGTCTTGAACCTGCCCTCAATATAGGAATGTTAGGAATACAAAAAACGCTTAGATGACCGTGCGGGCGG